GGAGCCGCACACCCGTTCATGGGAGAGCTAGATTCATTCCAGTCTGACCATAACAACGTGTTTCAAACCAATTAAAAAGGGTTGGAGAGATGACATGCCTAAAGAAGGGCGCATAGGAGAAGGAAATTTTGTTTGAGACTAAAAGGCCGCTGATTCCGGAGCGTGGACTTGGCTTTGGGAGTGTCGGCTCCGAAGCGCGCTATTGTTGCAAGCCTAGACTTCAGCTTTGAAGATCCCCATAAGGACGGGTACTGTACAGAGGGGACATGATAAGACAGGCCCTGTAATCATTAGACGAGCGCTGTAAAACATTGCATTACCTGCAGGAGTACAGCTGTCTTGGGCAGTTAATTGCTTATGCAGTTCGTCGACTTACAATGGATTTCATACCACGAATGACTTCATAGAACATGAGTCGAACTCATCACTCAAAAGCCTCATTCAAGGATCGCTTGTCCAATCCCCGACCCAGACAATCACCACAAAACAATTCTAGAACAAAAAGAGATAGGCCCTTCCCCGGCCCGGGGCATAATCCCCACAACGTCATTCAGGCATCGAGTTCACCGCGAAGGGTGGATCGTCATCCCTAGACTGTCACGGCGACATGGGCCAGGGGAGACAAGGAAACCCAAGACATCTATCCCAAGTGACAAAAAGAGTCAGGTAGACTTAGTGTCGATTTAGTAAGTTTTAGACTAGGTATTTTTGATACCTTGTCCTCAGGTCACAAGTTTTCTTGCTCCCTGAGGATGGGGAAAAGCGACGTTGTTACGCAACGACAATGACGCCCCCCAGAGATAGCTACGATCGCCGAACTAGATACCAAATAGTCCAAGTTACAGCCTAGCCCAACAGCAGAAGTGATCCTCCGTTAACGGGCTTGACGTCTGGCATTTAAATACCTGCTTTGCTAACCTCCCAATATGTCACACTCTGACCTCACTTGATATTCTTCCTCATCTCATTAATCATGGAGTCCCAAACGCCGCGGGACAGAAATGTCCATATTGACGATTCAGCCGCTTTAGAACAGCTCGGTCACAAACAGGAACTCAAGCGCAACTTTTCCAAGATCTCTCTTCTCGGTCTCGCTTTTGCTATCCTCAACACATGGACCGCCTTGTCAGCCTCTATCAGTCTCGCCCTCCCCTCTGGAGGCCCCAGCTCCGTCATCTGGGGTCTCATCGTGGCTGGTATTTGCAACCTGTGTCTAGCTGCTCCTCTGGCCGAGATGTTGTCAGCTTATCCTACCGCTGGTGGTCAATATCACTGGGCTGCTCTCATTGCTTGGCCGAAGTGGTCAAGAGGTATCAGCTACGTCACCGGTTGGATCAACGCTGCTGGTTATGTTGTGTTGACGGCAACGGCCCCTCTGCTTGGAAGTACTTTTGTTATGGACTCGATTACTTTTATGCATCCTACCTACGAAGCCAAGGCATGGCATCAGTTCCTGATTTATCTAGCCTTCACGATCATCGCCCTCGTCATCAATGCCTTTGCGACACGAATTCTACCACTGTTCAACAAAGCCGCCTTCCTGTGGAGTATCTCGGGATTCATCATCATCAGCATAACTGTTTTGGCCTGTGCTGCTCCTGATTATCAGAGTGGTGCGTTCGTCTATGGAAAGTTTATCAATGAGGTCGGCTGGCCTGATGGCCTCTCTTGGATGCTTGGACTTCTCCAGGGCGCCTTTGCTCTCACCGGATTCGATGCCGCTGCGCATATGATCGAAGAGATCCCTAACGCTCGAAAGGAGGGCCCCAGAATTATGATCTGGTGCATTCTTATCGGCATGCTGTCTGGTTTCATCTTCCTCTCATGCCTGTTGTTCGTTCTCAAGGATGTTCAAACCGTTATCGAGTCACCAGCCGGCGCTCTTCTGCAAATGTACTTCGATGCTACTAACAGCAAGGCTGGAAGTATCTGCCTCATCGTCTTCTCTATCGTCTGCATGGTGTTCACTGCCACTGCTATCATGACCACCAGTGCCCGCATGACCTATGCTTTCAGCCGTGACCGAGGTCTTCCCTTCAGCCATATCTGGGCCAAGTACAACGACGCCCTCGAGGTTCCTCTCAACGCTCTTCTCTGGACTACAGCCTGGGTTATCATCTTCGGTCTTATTCTTCTTGGAAGCTCAAGCGCCTTCAACGCCATTACTGCTGCTTCCGTTGTTGCTCTCGGTATGTTGTCCTCCATCTGTGCCTCTCCTCAACTAACATTTCAAAGGTGTCACCTACGCGATCCCTCCCGCCATTCATCTCCTCCGCGGCGGAAACTTACTTCCCGAAGACCGACCTTTCAAGCTCAGCACTCCTGTCCGATGGGTTTGCAGTCTCGTTGGTATTGCCTGGGCCATCCTCACCACCGTCCTTTTCGTGTTCCCACCCGAGCTTCCCGTCACCGCTACCAACATGAACTACTGTATCGCTGCTTTTGGAGTCATCCTTCTGATTGCTGTGGGCACTTGGATCGTTGATGGTCGAAAACACTACAAGGGCCCTCTCATTGAAATTAATATGGATGGTGCCACTCTTGAGGGCGCATCCATGGCCGAGACCACATGCACTTCAAATCCTGAAGATGATATGAAGAACCATCATGCTTAAATCAGCGTATGTGCTGTTAACATATCTAGAGCGTGGATTTAACAACAGGCTATCACCGAATAGCTAGATTAAATACAAGTCATGTATTGTTCCTTGCATTCTGCTCTATTTCTCGTGATTTCCGATGAAAAGTTTCTGCTTCTGCCGACCAGTCTTTATTGAAGCAAAGGAGAAAAAGATTGCAAGATATCGTTACAAGTAACCATGACCCTGGTCAGTCCTAAAAGGGACATGGCCCCATGCGATCAACCCTGTCAAGAAATCTCAGACGTCATCCTCGGCAACATAATCGCTCAATGAAGGATCAAAATTGGTAAACGCAGCTGTATAACTTCGAGATGGTATACAAATATGACTCCCTGCTACCACCTGGGCAGATTCGACTTCTCAAAATCATTCCTGGAACTCAGAATGCCGTGGTTTCGAGCCATATGAGTGTCGTCAACCTTGATGACAACCCAACATACAAATGTCTGTCATATACTTGGGGCGAGCCGGGTGGAGATGAAACCGATGAGATTTGGTCGAAGCCTTCTCAGACTATTCTCATTGATGGCTTTGAGATGAATATCAGGCAAAACCTTTACAACGCCCTCATTGCGTTCTGTCAATCTGGAATTCTAGGACCCATATGGATAGATGCTCTTTGCATTAATCAAAACGATATAGAGGAACGAAACGCTCAGGTTTCTCAGATGGCAAACATCTACAAAAATTCCGAGGAAGTCATTGTATGGCTCGGCCATGAGAGAGAATACACTCGGAGAGCGGTGGCTTGCTTTCAAAGACTACCCATCACCCGCCAGGAGCTCCTTTCAGATGAGAATGTCGTCTTGAGGGACAAAGCCTTCGCATCGTGCAGCTTCAAAGACTCAGAACTGCTAGCCATGACACGTTTCTTCACTGACCATGCATGGTTTGGCCGGACATGGACACTTCAAGAGATGTGGTTAGCTCGAGAGATGACATTTATGTGCGGAACAATCTATGCTTCCGTGAATGTTGTCCTCGCCGGAAGCAGTATTGCACATGATAGTTACTCGTCGAGGAGTGTTACAGAAGACATCCAGAGGACCCCAGCGATTACGTGGCTGATGAACTTCACCTACGACTTGATAGCCAAACTGAGGAAGGAAGTTGATGGGACTTCTCCTTCGCCACTTGGATTCGAAGTCGACTATCATCGTGCGAGGCATGCTACAGATCCTAGAGACAAGGTTTATGGTCTACTGGCAATATCCGGTAGCTTTCCCCCATTTTCAAAAGGGATGGCTTGGCTGATGGAATTCAGATACTACTACAGCGGATAATTATATGGAACCAGTAGTTGCCGATTATTCAAAACCAGTCCGGGAGGTATTCTCGATAGCCGCAGCACATTGTCTGCTCAACACAATAGGCTGGCGAGGCCTGAGCTATATCGGAGACCGCAGTAGATATCGCATCCCAGATCTACCATCCTGGGTTCCAGACTACACACAAGCTATTCCTTGGAGGCTTCTTCAACGAAGAAGTGAAGATACTTTCAAAACAGCAACTCACCAACAAGTCTGCATCGAGTACGATATAAACTCACCATACACTATCTGTTCGCCATATTCTTACTTTGATACGATTACTGCCGCCACAACTGCATACTGGGAAGATATAAAGGGTTATTCTCAGATGATTGAAATTCTGAATCTCGCTTTGAATCCATTTCCTGTCAAGACGTTCGGAGGAGACAATGTCTTGTCAGTCATGGCCAGAACCTTAACGGCAGATCAAGCAGGGATATACGACTATGATTCATATGATTTTGTTGGTCAATTTGGGGAAATGACATACGGCATGCTGTGGCTGAGCATTTCAAAGAACCCAGAGATGGTATATCAACTGCTCAAAAACCCTGAGGCCAGTCTTTCCAAAGCTTTGTTTTTGATAGGAATTCAGGACCGTGGAGACTTGCTGTCAAGTCTACTACACCCCTATCGACAAATATACAAAACAGAGGAACAAATGGAGTTAGAGTCTAAGCCCACAGAGTCTCAAGATCAGAGCCTCAAGGCTCGAACCTCATTGATACAGCTTGACTGGGGTTCTGCATCACACAAAAGAAGTCTCTTTCGAACGAAGAAAGGACATATTGGGCTTGCACCCCAGACTATTCAGGTCGGTGACGAAGTGGGCATATTGCAAGGCGCTGAAGTTCCGCATGTATTTCGTCGAGATTCAGGTTCGGAAACGTCGTTAAGTCTGGTTGGCGACGCCTATGTTTATGGGATTATGCATGGGGAGTTAGAGTCCGAGGGCCTGGAGTTCATCAGGGTTCGGCTAGTTTAGATGAAGCTCATGGCTTGTCGATATTACCTCTGAGTGTTGCGGCGCCACGATCGAGCTGTCAAATGTCAGTTTGACGTAGACGGCTTCACCCGAGTATGACGTCGACGAGGTGACACGAGCGCCACGTTATCAATTAAGCTTAATTGCATGATTGCACGTGCGAGGTGATACGACAAACAATGCCTTGTGTTGCGCATGGAAGGTTTGGACGTGGTTGGGGCCATCATTATGTGTAATTGAACATTAATTAGGAAATTCGAGCTTTCATAACAATGATACATAACAAGAGATGGTATCAAAGTACTCGCGTGTATCCAATGCCTTCGTATACATGCATTTCTTTCTCTGTCGTGACGTGATTCATGATTTCATCTCATAAGCCGTGATGTTGCATGACGTGCTAATTATATCCATACGCCGTAACTCCTGTCCGTTTATCGGACCGATTTTGATCAATTGAATTGATGCATTGCAAAAGCATCACGAGGTATCAAAGCGAAGGTTGCTCTGTCGCAAACGCTTGTTGTCGTGTCGGTCGCGCAGCACTTATACGTAATACCGTGTGCCGCGATCAGTTCCATAATATCCAGGCGATCGGCCACGGCGATGGCTTCGAGATCTTGAGTCTCTAACAACAATTGGGGGAGGTGCAGAGATGCTTGATCGATGCGATCGTCTGCTTCGAGAGCGATGATGATGTGAATGTCGTCGAGGCTCTTCCTTGTAGTGATACCACTTCTCCCGTTCTTGAGGTGGCGCGCCTAAATTGAGACACGATCGAACAACCCAGAGAAGAAGAAGAAAGCCAGCAATCGAACCAATGACGATGCCGGCAATTGCGCCTCCGCTCAATGTTTGGGCACTGTTGCCATTATCGCCGGACGAAGTAACAGTGACAGTCTCTGTGTTTTGCCGAGCCACCAGAGTTGGAGGAGGAGACAGTGTTGGAGAAGAGAGGGCTCTGGCGAGGATGGCACCCAAGCCGAGATCTTGCGGGGAACTGAGCGGAGCCATTGATGATCACAGACAGCGACAGTGAGGGTCAGATGTAGTGATAGTGATAGACGAGCGCAAGATGGTCAATTTCGAAGAGAGATGCAGCACCATTTAAGCACAACTCTAGTGTCAATCAATGAGTGATTTAGCAAACCCAATTCTCCTCAAGGGGAGGCTGGGATGGCATAACATAATGGATGAACTGTAAATGAAAGGTTTTGGACGTCATAATATCATCAACATCACCGATCTCACTGCGACTCCCCGCTCACACGAGACCATTTAGAACTCTTCCTTGACCCTAGTACCTAGTCTTGGCTGGTTGTGTAGTTATCACTAACCCTCCCGGTTAAAGTGTCAGACTCATTGTGGTGATTGATTGCCATGTTTATGACGTCTACAGCTTCTTTGTTCTCAACCATATCCTTGCTCGTTTCGACTTAGCTCGGCCACTCAACTCAAGAAACTTGCTTAATTGATGCGCTAAGAAACGGCAGTGCCTGGAATTGGTCCAAACGTAGGAGCTTTTGTTACGAAACTTTTGTCTCATTGGTTCGTGTTTTCTTTTTTATGCTTGTCAATTGGGCCGAGGCTGATTGACACCCAAAGGAACCAAAGAATTATCCACATTCACGTTCGTGGATCAGATTCAGCTGAGCAATTGCATGTGTTGCTGAATGCTTGTCAATTGGATCTACCGAGGTTTATGCAGGATATATATCACTTTATCTCCGAGACATCCGATCTTATCACTTGAGCCTCTCTGAGGTGGCTGGTTTGATATTGTGAAGAGGTGACGATGAATTTTCAACGACATGGACAGAGCGCTCAGCAGTCTTGTAGAAGAAAAGTTACTCCAACAGGTCTCTTCAGTCAGCGAAGCCTTCCGATGTGTTTATCATGTCCAGGTTCGCTTCTGAAATCATCATTTTGTAAGCGGGCTATTGGGAGTTCAACATCCGGAACAAGAGAACTCATATTTAAGGGCAGTCTGATGTAACTCGAATCTTGATGTACTATCTGATAACTATGAAAGAATTGGTTTTGATATTTTATAGCTGTTATCGATGTTTCACCTGGCCTCTATTATTACGACACCGGTGAATATCATTCTTCGTGATTGTTACCATCATCCCGCCGAAATGAGAAGCTACTATGTGTATTTTATCAAAAAGTGACTTGGCCTTGAATCATTATTGCCACCAAGAGACAAACAAATGCAATTTAAAGTAAGAAACTTAAAGCAGCTCGCCTTACTGTATGACTTACATCAAAGTGAATTATATGCAGGATTTATGCTACATAAATAGCTCAAGCGATTTATATGCCAGTCTAATCAAGACAAAACCATTCCATAAATCACATTTTATCATACCATGCTTTATATGAGTCAGACAATATCGCGATTCCCGACTGATCGTAGCATCTGAACAAACCACCACTACCAAGCAAATTGTGATGAGGGGTTGTTATGGTCGTGAGTATGAAATAATACATGTCCTTTTTATGACCTTTGAGAAGAATAGGCCCTGATTTAGATCCATTGGAATCTGTCTCGACAAAAGAGAGAGAGAAAGAATCAGTATTTCGCTGTAAACAGACTATCTTCAACCAGTATTATGCCCTCTCACTGCCTACATAGAAACAATATCAGAGGGTCTATAGTTATAAGGTCCGCAGATAGGCTGTCAGATCCTATCTCACCATTTCCTCAACCATGGTGTTCAAGATCAATACGTGTACAATCCTATGTGGCCCTGTGGAGCGCGGTAAAGCGCGGCTATGAACGCGGACCGAATAAAGCACCAATAGACTCACATTCCGCCATTCCGGCTAACATTACTAAAATGAGGGTCGTTTGTGAACGACATGGTCATGAGGTTCCTTGTTAGTGGGGATATTCTTGTAGATTAAAGGGCGTTGAATATCTCTATCTTTTGATAACGAACCCTTTTTGACCTTCATTAATCTAAACCACTATCATCACACAATATCGTCATCATGACTCGAACATATAGAATTGCTGTTCTAGAGTGTGATACGCCTTTTCCTTCTGTCAATGAAAAGCGCGGTTCTTATGGAGATATCTTTCGTGATCTTCTTACCAAGGGTCTCAAGAATGAAGCACTTGGTGACAAGGGCAAGGATGTGAGCCTGGATCTTAGCAAATGGGATGTTGTCACAGCACAAGAGTACCCAAACATTGAAGATGTTGATGGTTTCTTGTTAACCGGAAGCAGTAAGTTTTTTTTATCAAGTTATATCTGCAAAGCTAACAGGACGCAGAACACACATCCTTCGCTGATGACCCTTGGATTTTGAAGCTTGTTGAGTTTGTCAAGAAGATTTATACGACGACGGAGAAGCCCATTGTTGGCATCTGCTTTGGCCATCAGATCATTGGACGAGCACTTGGTGCAAAGGTTGCGGTGAGCCCGGGTGGTTGGGAGGTTTGTGTTGATAGAATCAACCTCAACGAGACTGGCCAGAAGCTATTGGGTGTTTCATCTCTCGTAAGTACCACCAATCCTTTCCATGAGGCCTCACTAACAAAAGAACAGGGCCTTCATCAAATGCACCGAGACGCAGTCCTGGAAGTTCCCGAAGGTCTGGTCAGTCTCGGCAGCAGCTCAAGGTGCGAGGTTCAAGGACTCTACAAGCCTGGGCGTATCATCTCGTTCCAGGCTCATCCGGAGTTTGATGACTTTATCATGCAAGAAATTATGGAGGCCAGATATGCCCAGCAGATCTTCTCAAAGGAGATGTATGAGGAAGGTATAACGAGAGCAAGGGCGCATCATGATGGACTTCTTGTGGCTGCGAAGATTTGGGAGTTCCTTCTTTGAACAATTAGACAATAGAAACGTGTTTTTTTGACCAGATCCAATGCAGTGTCCTTCATATGAGTGATGAAAATGGTTTGAGGGTGGCCTCGTTGATGTGCTCAATTTCGGCGGCCAACGTAACTGGGTGCTCAATTTGAGCAAAGGAATTGGTGGAGACAGTCATATATACGGCATCTGTATTGCATGTGCCTCGAGGACTCTTAGTTTTATATATCGAGGCGGGTATCTAAGATTAATGATGTCCTTTCATGCAAAAGATATCCAGATCTGACGCTCACGCATCGCCCTACATAGCATCCAAGGACTGACTTGATCCGGCGGCTGCTCCCAAATATGCTCCAATAGCACCAGTGTTTGTCTCATATTCCCCAGCCCAATTGTGTCTAGCATAGTCTGCAACCGCGTCCTCAAGACCTGCTGGACTGAAGGATCTGACGTGCTACACCCGATAACAGCGAGTGGCCAGCAAAGACTCGTATTTATCCTGACCGAAGCGGGAAATTGGTCAAGTAATGCAACTGCTTCAGCGACGGCCGATTCTACTAATGCTCGTTGGAAGCTGCCTTCAGGTTGCTGATGGGGTTTCCCGAGGACTGTCCAGAGATACAGGAGGGCAGCTTGTTTCCATACCAGCCCCGCAAGACGTGTATATGGCGTGACAGAAGGATCTGGGAAGAAGCCCATTACTTGAGATTGAAGGAAAGCGAAATTGACAATGTTGTCGGGGCTTGGTGAGATCTCTCCATCGACAGTCGGTGAAGACATTACTTGTCCTAGGTGAAAGATCTGGGATATCAGGATGAGGATTTCGAGCCAGCAGCCACATAGTTGGCCGACATACTTCCTTGCGACCAAGTTTCTGGCCCGGACTTCAATATCGGGGCTGAGTAATGACTGTGAGTTATACTGGGGATCAATCGAGATCATACTGGTGGCTGCGATATGCATGTAGTACTCGATTAGAAAGTCTGGTAAGTCGTCGTACACCATGTTCTGCGTCCCTGTGAGTAATGTGCTCACTAATGACTTGGACGCTGTTAGATGGTCAAATATTGTGCCGTGAATGTCTCCTTTGGCAACCTGCAGCATGTTAGTCAACAATCGTGTCATGGAATCAATGGTACGGACCTCAGTCAAACACATGATAAGACTGCCGACTGTCAAGACAAGGGTGTTCTCGGCATTTCCGGATACATACTCATCGACGACATTCCTAAACATCCGCAGCGAGTCGGTGTAATACCTCTGAGCGATCTCATCGCTTGGATGTCGCTCTGCTGATGCCTGACGATGCGCAGCACTCTGGGCGAGGATGAGTTGTAGCACAAGTGGTTTTGAGAAGGCCAATGGTATAAGCTTGGCGATGAAGGGATTCACGTCTGTGGAACCGTTGCCCATGCTATTGGCCGTTCGTGACAGGTAGTAACTGAGAAGCTCATATGACTGATGTCCCTGCTCAGGTAGCATCGACATTGGCATAGTAATGGCTCCATTGAATGAGAGTCCTGTGTCTGGGGACGGCGGCAGAGCGAGAGTGAGAGCATTGGCGGTATCTGCATCCCATGTTGTGATAACAGTCGGTGAGTCTGATGAGTTGGATGACTGTGAAGGAGATGGCTGATCAACATCATCAACGGCTTCGATGATATCCACATCAGCTTCAGCATCGACCATGTGGGTGTCCCCTTGCCCATGCACCGGAGAACTGTCGCCATTCTGGGGTACATCGGGATTCTCAGCAGCTCGGTCCTCCTCCGGCACCGGGTCCGGTATCACCGGGTCATTCACCGAGTCTGCATCGTGACCTTGTCTCAGCGAAGCAACGCTCTGTTGTGAGCTTGTAGATGCAGCACCAAATGAAGACCGTGATGGTCCCTTGGCAGGCTGTGGTTCAGGCCAGACACAGTCGAGCTTGTTGCGTTTGCAACCGCTGCAGATTGGTTTACTACATCATCACGTAAGTCAAGTCAAGATGACTGTTTGGAGAGTGGTTGGCAGTACCTCTCGTCGCACTTCTTTTTGCGCTTCCTACAGGTAAAACAGCCCGTCCTACTGCGGATTATAGGCACGGGACGCATTGAGGGGTTTGGGTTTGTTGGTGACGGTGACATATTGAGCCCTCTTTTTTTGCCACCGAAAGACTCGGTGACAAAGCAAGCGGATTGCTTGGCTTTGAGTGGTAAAGTACAGCGCGGTTAGAGGTGAACACAGGCACAATCAGGTGCAATGCAAATCGGATGGAGGCTCCGGAATAAGCGAGACGAACCGTAAAGCAACGTCCGTGGCCTTGGAAGTGGATCGTGTTTGTTTTTGTTGTGGGGGAGTCAAGTCAAATCAAATCAGGGCCACGGACGGAGAATGCTTCTAGACTAATGCCCACTTCGCTTCAGTTACATAACGTACGTAACGGGAATAATTGGTTACCCTGTACCAAGCCACTTTCATCCCCGTTCACCGAGTCAGCTTCTAAAAGTGTTCTAGGCTCAGAGATAGCGCATGTACCGTCAGGTAACTCACTCCCGGCCCTCCAAGACCAAACCTCCGAGGATCATGTGGGACTCTTCCACCCCCGGCTTTAGATCTCGACTCAGTGACGTTTGATAAGATTGACTCGGTGACATTGACCATGAGGTACGTACCGGCATCTTGATCTCATGCTCCGGTCCTCCTGGAACTCATGAGCCGAAGGCGGCGGACAAGGACATTCTTATTAGATCTTGTGCTGCTCTAGCTTAGACTTGCTGTTTGAGACTGTATCGTAATTTCATCTTCTTTTTCCTTTCTCTTCAGTTCATACAGAGATACCCCTCATCATACACGTCATGATGAACTTGAGGCTCCTTCGGCAGCAATGCCTTCGCACAAAGCCATCTCTGGCCAGCCGCGTTACCACCAGGACATTTGCTTCTCAATCTGATGTAAGTCTTCAATGAAGCCATGTCCAACAATACCTAACACTCTACAGCTTCTCGGTGCCAACCTCGAGCAAGGCGACCCTGAGATCCACGCCATTCTCAAGCGTGTAAGTCACTTTCCAATACACCAATTGATCCAATCTCACACCATCGTAGGAAGAGAAGCGCCAGAACCATTTCATCAACCTCATCCCTTCCGAAAACTTCACTTCGCGATCCGTTCTCGATGCCCTAGGCAGTGTTATGCAAAACAAGTACTCTGAGGGCTACCCCGGCGCGCGATACTATGGTGGTAACGAACATATCGATGAGGCAGAGCGTCTATGCCAAAGACGTGCCCTCGAAACCTTCCGTCTTGACCCTGAGAAATGGGGTGTCAATGTTCAGCGTAAGTCTCGGCTTCGCGTTCAACTCTTTGTTCAATGCTAACAGCCTCAGCCCTTTCTGGATCACCTGCCAACCTCTACGCCTACTCTGCTATCCTCAACACCCACGACCGTATCATGGGTCTTGACCTTCCCCATGGAGGTCATCTCTCACACGGCTACCAAATCCCCAACAAGAAGATCTCCATGGTCTCCAAGTACTACGAGACCTTCCCCTACCGATTGAACGAGGAGACTGGTCTCATCGACTACGACAAACTTCGCGAGAACGCTCTTCTGTACCGTCCTAAGGTTATCGTCGCTGGTACATCTGCCTACTCCCGCCTGATCGATTACGAGCGCATGCGTGCTATCGCCGACGAGGCTGGTGCTTACCTTCTGTCTGACATGGCTCACGTTTCTGGTCTTGTCGCTGCTGGTGTTATTGGAACACCATTTGAGGATTCTGATATCGTTACTACCACCACCCACAAGTCCCTTCGTGGACCTCGTGGTGCCATGATCTTCTACCGCAAGGGCGTTCGAAGCACAGACAAGAAGGGCAAGCAGATCATGTATGATCTTGAAGGCCCTATCAACGCTTCAGTTTTCCCTGGTCACCAGGGTGGTCCTCACAACCACACCATCACCGCCCTCGCTGTTGCCCTTCGCCAAGCTCAGACACCCGAGTTCAAGCAGTACCAAGAAAAGGTCCTCGAGAACTCACAAGCTCTGGCCAAGCAACTCTCCGAGGGTCTGGGCTACAAGCTCGTCTCAGGCGGTACCGATAACCACCTCGTCCTCGTTGACCTCAAGCCTAAGGGTGTCGACGGCGCACGCGTCGAACGTGTTCTCGAACTCGTCGGTGTAGCCAGCAACAAGAACACCGTCCCCGGTGACCGCTCCGCCCTCAAGCCCGGTGGTCTTCGTCTCGGAACACCCGCCATGACAACGCGGGGCTTTAACGGCGAGGACTTCAAGCGCGTGGCTGATATTGTGGACCGCGGTGTGCAGATCACTCTAGCGGTTGATAAGGACGCCCGCGCCGCTGCTGAGGCCAAGGGTGCTAAGAACCCCGGTACTGTGAAGAACTTTTTGGAGTTCTTGGGTGATGGATCTAATGTCAAGGAGATTAAGGCGCTACGAGATGAGGTCGCTGAGTGGGTTGGAGGGTTCCCCCAGCCCTGGCTCAAGTCATGATGTTTTTGATGAAGAGTAAAGATCGTTTTTGGCGTTTGGAAAATAGTATCATAGCAAAATTTACATGAGTTAAAGAGTCTATTGCATGATTCTCACCAAATTTGTTGTGTTGTAGCTGTGTTGATCATCCATGTTGTAATCATGATGGGCTAGAGCACTGGAAGTTAAGCTGTTTGGACCAACACCACGACTGTGTAATAACCGCCACTTCAATGGTCATGCAAATTTGATGTCAACTTGCTCCAGTAGCAATTGACCCAATTGACTAAAATTACATGATAAAATTGCCTTGCACTTCATTCTCCGTAGTCAAACTCCGAATATCTCACTCCTCGGAATTCCAAGTCTTCCCCGCATACCCAAAAAAAAAAATATTTCAGGGCTCTTGGATCTGGGGTTATCGGTACTTGACTCAGTGAAAGATGCCAGTAGCGAGTACCTTTCGCAAGCGGCTAAAGCAGGTTACACCGCCCATCATGACAACTTTTTGGCGAGATAAGCGGTACCGCTACTTAAAGGTGTGGGTACACTGAAGTAGCGCTCATGACCTGATTCTCCAACTGTTATGACGCTACGAGGCGCCGCTTGAACTGGGGCCGGATAGTGACTCCGAGGTACTTGACCGGAGCGCCGCCGAAGACGGGGGATGAGAAGTGCTAGGGATTGTAAATGGGGAGTAGGTCACCTAAAATTATCATCATCACAGACATTCGCATTCACTCATTCAACCTCAATCCATTCCTCATACTCACTCCCTCTCTCACTCACTCACAATGTCTGGTCTCTTTGCTCGTCAAGCTTGGGCTTCTGCCTCTAAGCTCCGATCCACTGCTCTTCGAGCTCCCAAGACTGCCTTTGCCTGCAAAGTCAACAGCATTGCTCCCCGACGATGCTTCTCAGTTTCCATGAACCGTAGGTTCTGCCTCCTTTTTGAAGCTCAATCAAATCTAATAGTCTTTAGTCCTCGCGAGGAAATACACTGAGAGCCACGAGTGGGTTGACGTCGCCGCCGATGGCAAGACCTGTAAGTTCATTTGTCTGATCTAAAGCTCATCAATTGACATTACCAGGCACAATTGGCATCTCCAACTACGCTGCTGAAGCTCTCGGCGATGTTGTCTACGTGGAGCTTCCCTCTCAGGGCGAGGATGTCTCTGAGGGCGAGTCTTTCGGTAGCGTCGAGTCCGTCAAGTCTGCCTCTGACATCAACTCTCCTGTATCAGGCTCTGTCGTGGCGGTCAACGATCCCATCGTCGACACACCCGCTGATCTTGGAAAGGATCCTGAGGGCGAGGGCTGGTTGATCAAGGTTGAGGCTGAGGATGTTTCTGCCCTTGATTCATTGATGGACGAGGCTGCTTATGCTAAGCACCTTGAGGAGCATTAAGCGATGGTTTTTGGTTATATTAAATAATTGGTGATTCAAAAGCAAATGATATCAGATTTTTCGCATTCATTTTCGGTGTGTCCCAAGGCACAATTTGTAGATCGTGTACATGTGTGGTCATAATAAAGGCCAAGTCTTGGAACGTGAGATATTGTCCTCTAAACCACTTCACTTCTCAACAGAAAACTGCTTGAATATTTGAACTCATAAATTTCTAGTTTTAGAACTTTTATTCTAATCTCATCATATCTCGCAAAACTCCGCCAATACAGAGATCAGTTCGCCTTGGTTGAATAGCTTCCCAAAAACCATTCCATATGCATGTCAGGGACCCATCATGGTTGAATATGATATATCTTTTCCCGCTAAACAATAGAAACAATCGCTTAATATGACCCGTCCACCATCTATCGTTAAACCATTATTTCTTCCTTTTTGTCTACAAGTTCTCAGATCCCTCAACAGGGGGGCAAGTGCAGAACAGGTTGGTGTCACCATAAGCATCGTCCACGCGTCCCACAGAGGGCCACATCTTCTTCTCCCGGAGCCAAGGCAGGGGATAAGCCGCCTCCTCACGAGTGTAAGGGCGGTCCCACTCGGAGGAGAGAAGGTCTTCTTGAGGGTGGGGGGCGTTTGTGAGAAGGTTGTTCTTGCGGGGAACCTTGCCAGACTCAACGTCGGCAATCTCCTGTCGGATCTGGATGAGAGCATCGCAAAAACGGTCAAGCTCAGCGCGGGACTCGGATTCTGTGGGCTCGATCATGAGGGTTCCTGAAACGGGGAAACTCATGGTAGGAGAGTGGAAGCCATAGTCTGCAAGGCGCTTGGCGATGTCGGCAACTTCAACTCCGGCGGTCTCCTTGAAGGGACGAACGTCGAGGATGAACTCGTGGGCGCAGCGGCCGTTGGCGTTGGTGTAGACGACCTTGTAGTGGGGGAGGAGACGGGACATGATGTAGTTGGCGTTGAGGAGGGCGGTACCAGTTTGCTTGGTAAGACCATCTCCACCCATCATGAGGATGTAGGTGTGGCTGATGGGGAGAATAGAGGCGCTACCCCAGGGAGCGGCGCTGATGGGAGCAACGGCTGTGCTGTCACGTTCGGCACCAATGCGCTGAGGATCAATCTCAGGGTGACCGGGGAGGTAAGGAGCAAGATGCTTCTTAACAGCGATAGGGCCAACACCGGGACCACCGCCGCCGTGGGGAATACAGAAGGTCTTGTGGAGGTTGAGATGGCAGACATCAGCACCAATGTCACCGGGGCTGCAAAGGCCGATCTGGGCGTTCATGTTGGCACCGTCCATGTAGACGAGACCGCCATGCTCGTGGACAAGATCACAGACTTGCTTGATCTCAGGCTCGAAGACACCGAAAGTAGAGGGATAGGTAACCATGATAGCAGCAAGCTCATCAGCGTGCTTGACACACTTGGCCTTCAGATCCTCGATATCCAGGTTACCAGTCTTACCGTCACACTTGACAGTAACAACCTTCATACCAGCCATGGCAGCAGAAGCAGGGTTGGTACCGTGAGCCGAAACAGGGATAAGGCAGACCTTTCGCTTATCTCCATCACGAGCCTCGTGGTAAGCCTTGATACAGCGAAGACCAGCAAACTCACCCTGTGCACCAGAGTTGGGCTGAAGAGTGGTAGCGTCCATACCAGTGATCTCAGACAAGTTCTTGGCGAGAGAGCTGATGAGAGCTTGGTAACCAGAAGCTTGCTCAACGGGGGCGAAGGGGTGGATGTTGTTGATACCGGGGTCGGAAATAGGAAGCATCTCGGTTGTGGCGTTGAGCTTCATTGTGCAGGAGCCAAGAGGAATCATAGAGTGAACGAGGGAGACATCCTTGGACTGGAGGTGGTAGATGTATCGAAGGAGCTCGGTCTCGGTGTGGTATTGGTTGAAGACAGGCTGCTCGAGGTAGCCGGTCTTTCGCTGGAGAGAAGCAGGGATTTGGTCATTGAGAAAGGTAGCCTTATCAGACGCAAGAGCAGACTTGAACTCAGCCTCAGAAACGCCAAAGGCCTTGACGAGGTTACTGAGGCTCTCAAGGGTGACACCCTCGTGAAGAGAGAAGCCAACCTTGTCCTCAGCAACACGGCGAAGGTTAATGTTCTGAGACTCAGCGTTCTTGTGAACCTTGGCAATGGCCTCAGGAGATCCCTTGAGAGTGACAGTATCGAAAAGAACAGAACCATCCTCGCGGAGACCCTCTGTGTGAAGCTTGAACTCGCCCTTCTCAAGGATCAAGCTCTGGGCAAGACGGGTCTTGCTCCAGATATCCTCAGCAATGGTCTTAAGACCCTTAGGACCGTGGTAGACAGCGTAGAAAGCAGACATGTTGGCAAGAAGAGCCTGAGCAGTGCAGATATTGCTGGTGGCCTTCTCACGACGAATGTGCTGCTCACGAGTCTGGAGAGCCAGGCGAAGAGCAGGCTTGCCGAGACGATCCTTGGAAACACCAACGAGACGACCAGGAATCTTGCGCTTGTACTTCTCAGATGTAGCGAAGAAAGCAGCATGGGGACCACCGTAACCGAGAGGAACACCGAAGCGCTGGGAGTTACCGATGGCGATGTCGGCGCCAAACTCTCCAGGGGGCTTGAGCATGGTAAGAGCGAGAAGATCGGTGGATGCGCTGAGAAGAGCCTTCTTCTCGTGGACGATGTCGGCGAGAGCTTGGTAATCGTGAACACCACCGTGGGTATCGGGGTACTGAATCAGGGTTCCAATGAGGTCGCCTTCGACTTCGCGAACGAGCTTGGAGTTGTCGGCGAGTACATCGCCGATAACGAGCTTGATGCCGAATCCCTCAGCTCGGGACTGGAGGACGGCGATGGTCTGGGGGTGGCAGTCCTTGGAGACGACAAAGACCTTCTGGCCTTTGCCCTTGGGTGCGTTGGCCATAGACATGGTCATGGCCTCAGCAGCGGCGGTAGCCTCATCGAGAACAGAGGCGTTGGCGATATCGAGACCAGTCAAATCGGTGATGAGAGTCTGGAAGTTGAGGAGAGACTGAAGACGGCCCTGGCTGATCTCAGCTTGGTAGGGGGTGTAGCTGGTATACCAGGCAGGGTTCTCGAGAACATTGCGCTGGATAACAGCAGGAACAAGAGTTCCATAGTAACCAGCACCAATGAAAGATTCGTAGACCTTGTTGTTCTTGGCAAGTTTTCGCATCTCTTGCTGGATGTAGTGCTCAGTGCGACCATTGGCGGGAACTGCAGCTTCCTCGCCGCCCTCATACCACTGTTCAACGAGGTTGAGACCCTTCTGTTTCCTCCGAACCTGCGGGGGAATAGTCTGCTCGAGAAACTCCTCCATGGAGCTCACGGGAGGGTCCAGCACCTTGAGCATTTCTGTCTGCTCGCTGGACTCGCTGCCAATGTGCCTCCTTGAGAAGAGCTCATGCTCCTGCAGCTTAGTGCTGCTCTGTGAGTCGACAAAGCGGGGGGCGCTGACTTGGGCTGTGACTGAGAATGCCCGGGATACGCCATTGAGACGAATCGATTGTGTGAGACGTGGTTGAAGGGTGATGGGGGAACGACGAGACTGACGGGCGAGCCGTTGTCCGATACGAGTGGCAGACATCATGATGGGATGATTGCCTATTAGACCAGACCCCTCTTCAACACAATTCAGTTCTGAATTATGAAGAAAACAAAGAAAGGAGAGGAGGAGGGAAAGGGGATTGACTGATTATGAGTATGAGTATGGAGTGTTATCAAAAAAACACAGCCCGCATCCAAAGATTTTAAGGGTACGGGCGGGCATGAGCATGAGTGGCGTCGGCCGTCATGGTCCGATCATGTCGCCGGTTCCTTTCTCCAAACCGGCCGGAAAAGGTACATGAGGGTACATCTGGATCTGAACCTTTCCAGAAGACATTTCATGTGACTCGGTGAAAGTGCCAGCGCGGCAACTAAAGCGCGATAAACCCTGTGATTCGTTGGCTTTGACTCAGTGAAACCAAGTGACTCGGTGAAAGATAAGCACCCTATCGCGCCCAAATTCACCGAGTCAACGGTAATTCTTCACTGAGTCAAATGCACCGCAACAAATCAGGTGGTCGGTAAATGAGCCGCGGGGGTCTTATCGCTTGATTTTTAGGCCAAGCTGGGGTTGGTTCCACTGGGTTCTGCTCTGGAAATACTTCCTCGGCGTTGAACCGAAACCTGGGGGCCGAGCTCGGGGTGGTCTGGCCGGTTCCTTTGTTCGTCAGTTGATTTGATGTTTATGATACGAATTTATCGGTACGCCTTCTAGAAATGCTCTATGCAGCTTGTCCTTGTGACACTTTTAGACAGGCTCTGCACGAATTTCCGGTATAGAAGCCGGGGTTGCAATATCGGAATACAATACACGCCCCACTGGCCAGGGCTGCTAGGGCACCTTATCCAAACTCCGACGTCTTGGCATAGGGTAGCTGCATTTGGACCAGCGGCAGAACCCAACGAAATTTCGAGATCTATCAGGCAATACGAATGAAGTGTGATAAGCAAATAGTTGCTGGATCACCTATCCATTATGAGCACTCGATGCTATCTAAGAGTGTTTCTTATGATCACAAGTCGTGTTGTGACACAAATTGATCATTTATACTAAACCTTCATTACGTGAGAATAAAGGCATGGTTTAGAAGTCCTTCTTTTGAATAATAAATATATGATGAGTAGTATTGAGGAATATGGTATCAAATCTGAGAGGATTTTACGGTCATTAACAAGTCAAACAACTAACCATTCATCCTGTCTGACCTATAGGCGCTTTATGGAAATCAAAGGGCTATGATAATCTGAGGCAAGTCCGTGGAAGAAGAACAAAGACAGGGAGAACAAGACACGAAAAGATCCATCAAGCCTTCTCGCATTTGGTAATGATGAAAAAAAAAAGAAGCTCATGTTTGACAAAGAATCCAACATGTTCATCAGTTCAGGGTACATGTTGTGAACAGCTGTCGCCCAACAACCATAACAACAACGTTTAGGATCAATGACCCTGAGGCACTCTGAGCTGAAAGACTCGGAATTTTCAATATTTGAAAATCAATTACACCTTTTAACACTTTTCATCATGATAGCGAAAACAATTCAGACAAGGCCACCTACCGGGGTACCATTTTGCGAAAAGCACTTTCAATCATTTGTATTCAACTACATCACGCAACAGATCGAAATCGAGCAGTTGACATCAAGAGTGATGCAGTCGGGCCCCACTCGAGTTCAACCACGAAGAGTCGCAAAAGATAAGCATCCTCTTGGAAAGATCACGAAGAAGCGTGAGGCAGACGGGGATTTGCCAAAATCTACAACAAGGAAACGGAAAACTAACTATACAGCCCAGAGCTCGAAGGGGTGGAATGCATTCATCACATTGGTGCAGCAGCAGGTGAAGGAGAGGAGAGATGCTACAGAAGACGAAGAATTCAGCAGTCCCTTTGGACCTACTCCCTGGGCATGCAAAATGTGCATATCCAAGACAGGCGAATCAACTGAAGAAAACCTGCTGTTTATGGGGGAGCACACGGCACCTTGGGCTAATATGGCACCTGTTAGGCGTCCTCCAAGGCTTAACATATGGAAAGACTTTGGGATAGCAGAGTTTCAGACGTCTCACTGTGAAGGTTTGTCATATGTTATTGATACGTGTCGACAACCAATGTTTATGATGCTGTGAGCTTTTGCTTACTACGAAACAGTATCAGGAAATAACCAGAAGATCAAGAACTTTACGAGACACTAATGACTACAACACGATAGAAATATGAAGTGTGCAAGAGGCATAAGCGACAATCAATCGACGGTGATCATACCATTGTCTGAACTAACCCTATAAAAAGCTTGTGGCATGATTGCCATGAAAGATTGCGCCTGGGTTCCTCCGAATACAACGCTTGAACTGTCATAAGCCCGAAACTTGCTGCTCTTGTTGTGGCGTGTCGCTTTTATTCGTTTGGTGGAGTACGTGTTCATGACAGGCCATCAATTGGCAGTTGACCTGGTCATGGGAAGGGCAGTCCTAATTTAGGAGGGAGAAAGCCAAGATGGCGAGGATGAGAACGAGCATAATGCCCAGTGTCAGCAGTTGCATTAGCTTCGCAAAACTCGGGGAGTCTGAATTTATTGGGTCAGCTCTGCTACCAGCCAAAGAATTCCATTGAGATTAGTCTGCGTACATCACGAACCAAAAGATGGCGCCAAAGCCGGCAACACAAGCAAGAATTGCACAGTATTTGTAACCATTTTCAAGTTTAGCTTTAGTTTCGACCCATTTGCCTGGTTCGGGACCCTCATCCGTGGTTGGGGCTGTGGCTGACATTGTTGTTGTATTGGATTGATGAGTAGTGATAGCACTTGCTGACTTGGACAAGGCAGAAGCAAGATGGAGACAAATGGGAAGAAGAGCAGTATATTTATTCCGCAATAAATCTTATAGAGTTTTGTGTCCCTCTCTAGAGAAGGGTCCTGACATATGGAACTTGTGCGAGAGAACCCTTGCATTGGATGTTTTGTGAAGCTTTCACCAACCTCCACTCCCTCACATATATCATCCAGTTACAGAGAACCTGCCTGGGTAGATTCATATGTGATAAGTTACCGACAGGACACCAAGAATGCAAGTTTCTGCATAAAATCACAGTTGACCTCAACTGATGCCAGAAAAACTCAGTAAAGGCCACGTAAAGGTGAATCTGTCGACCGGATTGATCATGCTTCAAAATGGAGCGGCTGCCAGGCAGTTCTTGACTAATTCATGGATCGACGTCTTTGCTGAAAGCATTGAAGCATCCAATAAGCAATAAACCTACCTTGACGTGATTCGCGTGAGAAACCCTGTATATACCTCGAAGCAATGAAGGTTGGTAGCAACAGGCAGCAGAGGGGACCGTTCATATGGCTACCAGTAACTTAACTTGTGAATATCTAGATAGAAAGGCAAAGAAATCGCCAATACTTCCTCTCGTTAAACTCAGAGGGATACGTGTAACAACTCTGACAAGCTTCAACACTCGATGCTGCTGTCCGTCCCATTTCGTCAATTAACCCAAGTGCAAAGCACATTTACTGCTAAAAGCGTTCTATTCTTAGACAAATGTCTTCCTGTCGAGTTTATCGGTATACATCTTCTTGTTCAACTGTCTGTGAGTGATGCGTAGTAAGAAGTGGAATAATGTGCTCCGCTCCTCCGTTTACCTCAAGCATGAGAACGTCACATTACCTCACCAAGATAACGAGCTAAGGCTACAAGTGAAAGATCGAGCCACGTGAAGTAGAAGCCTAAGTGAAGTGCCGGGATTGGTCGTGTTAGTGGCAAGGACGAGTTGTTATTGCGATCCAATCAAAAGATGTAGCTAGGATGTGTGATATTAGTGGCGACGAACCTTAAAGCTTGGCCTTGGGATTTCTCAAGATTGCATGTTGTATAATATTAGATAAGCTGGATCACTTGGCCTTTTCTTGCCAATAATATCGACAGGATTAGTGTTTTCAATGGGATTAATAAACTCGAAGTGTTATAGAGAGTAGAAATGTAGAGAACATTCGAGATTGCCAATACCGCGATACCCTGTCATCAAATCTCGAACCATCGTGGATCATCACGCGGAGGCTAAAAAGCTGGGCCAAGTCAAGGAACCGCCAAAATCACTCACATCACCCCCACAAAGCCAACTCAGATCGCCAACCAGAGTGTAATCCCACGTCAGGACCCCTCATTCGACAAGGAGGGGTCTTTTGAGATCAACGCACAAAGGCCGCATCCCACATGCTGAGTATATAAGACCCTGCATGATCCGATCAGATTCTCTTTTTCTTCTTCATCCTCATCTCACAAACAAGTCTTCAAAACAAACTCAACACTTTTTTCTGTACTTCAAACCTCATCCACCAAACAATAATCACAATGGCTGGCGACTGTGGCTGCTCTGGTGCCTCTTCTTGCAACTGCGGCTCAAGCTGTAAGTCAACATGACTGACTCTATTCTCATCAGTCCATTAATACTAATATGCGCTAGGCTCTTGCTCCGGCTGCGGAAAATAAGCTCTCCCATCTCATTTCAAGCAAGATTTATTGAGATACCACCCGTGACCTTTGCCGCAATTCTACGAAACAATACATGGATTCATAAATATTGGTGTTGAGCCCAGTGTGCTCGGGGAGATGGCGGTTGGACTTACAGTTTCACTGGTTTGCTTGTAGTGCAATTCTGAAATACATTTCTTCATCACCGTAATTGTCTACTTAGTGCTCTGATGGTCCGCGTACTATCTTCTCATCCATTGATGTGTTGTAATGTCACGAGCAAATCAGAAGCACTTCGTGAACTTGACCTATACGCTCCCTTGACACGCGATCTAAAAGTCCCCTACCTACCTAAGTATCGTAAACATGTGTTCGCAACCCGCAATGCTTGCGTTTGCTGATCTCCTCTGGTCTCTGGTCTCCAGTACTTGTGTACATTCAAGGCTAGATAGGCCATTCTTCACCTTCCCATTGCAGATGGCCTTGCCATCCTGCTCTCCGGATTTACTGCTGTGATCTCCCGTTGAAGTTTAGCCGCTCATGAGCTGGCTCAAACTCATCTAGCTCAGTTATATCGGTAATGTCAACAAAGTCGTAAGAAACATGCTTGACGATCTGGCCCTCTAGCCTCGTTGGGCCAGCCTAGACAAATGTGACCATTGGTCTCATCGCCACGGGTCGCTTACCCCAACCAAGCCTCTGTCGCATGTCGAGAAGTAATGGGGGAAGGGAGTAGGGAGATGAGAACGTAAAGAACCGCAGCTCAAGAGAGCGAAGACTGGGTAGTGAAGCTAGGAGAGTCAATAAGTCATTCTTATCTATCTTAAAGCCACGGAGTGTGAGGTGTTGCAGTTGTTCTAATGGGCTCTTGATAAGCAGGGAGAAGCGTGTATCAGCATAGTTTCCCCAGGAATCATTAAAGCCATCGTTGAATATGTTCAAGCTCTTGAGACTCTCCGCCTGTTTGAGAGTCTCATGAAGATAATCAAGAGGCTTGTCAAGGAGACCAGGACTCCTTAAGAACCTTGTCGTGCGAATAGGGAGTTACAGCCTGGAAATGCCGGGCCTCTGGATAAGAGAGATGACGTCTGCGTAAGTATAACCCGTGTTGTCAAAAAGATCGATGTTCACCCCGTCAGTATAAGCCTGATCCTCGACAACGAACTCGACGACTTTGTGCCTTTCGCGCTTGGCAAGCATGCGCAGGGCGGAACAGAAACCATGTCTAGTGATGAGTTTGGGTGTTACCGAAAACTCCTTGGGGTCCCACAAGAAATCGGTATCTGTATCGAAAACCCTGTGCGCCAGTAGAGGATACACGAAGCTGTAGGGAAAGGCTCGAATCATGGGGTCTCGATCCTAGGCATAAATAGGCGCCCATGTGCTCTTGAGGTAGTGGTTACGCGAGAGAGCGAAGGAAATCATTCCAGGGCATACAAAAATGCATCGATATCTGCTCTGGATACGTGTACCTGATGCTGTTGGTCTGCAAGGCTGTAGTAGTAAGCGTAGGAATCTTCTGGGGTCATGGCTGCTGCCAGCTGGCGCATTGGGACATCATGATCCCGACAGTTCGGTCGTCTGCTGTATAAAAACCGACCAATACTATTCATAGAATTGTAATAATACTATGCCGGCATCGCTTGGCTAAGTTCAGATCGCGATCCTGAACTCCTGGACGGGACATACTCTCCACACTGCCGAAACAGGTGTCGTCCCATAGTAGCTCGGCCACACCCTTGCGATACTTATTGCTATTCGCAATCTCTTGAAGGACTTTGATGCTGAGAATATTTGCCGAGGAAAAGACTCGTTCTAGATGCAAGAGAACGGTGCTCCTAAAGCCGGCAGATGCGAGACGTAAGTTCTTGACATCGCTATTCGGTAGGAAGGATGTAATTGGTTGAGCACTTCAACCGGTATGGCTGCGAGATTACTCTGCCTCTGATCAGACATTTTGAATGAGCGGTTTGGGCATACGGAGTTGAATGGGTACTGGAAAGACATATTGATGAATGATGGTCAAGCTCCTCTGCCAATGGCTTGGAAATCATCCCACGAAGACTAACATTGGGTCACATAGAACAAGGACGTTCAAGCTCCTGCAAGGCGAAACAGGCGTGCACGTCGAATTTATAGCCATGATCGAGTTTGAAGCTCTTGTAGCATTAAGAGTCATGAAACACCTGTTCATAGGTCGTTCATTGTACGCGTGAACTATAAGGATTTTCGCGGATCTGACAGGTCTGAGAATATGAACACCAGAACATCAGAACATCAGAACCGAAACACATCTTTGGCAGCTAGGGAGTGCTGTACGGCACGGAAGCGACTCTTGGGCCAGTTGCCTTCTTAATGGGTACGTATATTTGATAAGGACTTTCTGTAGGGGACATCAGAGTAGTTGCAGGATATTTTAGCATCTTGTCAAAATAAATCAAGAACAGTCTTGGAAATGGTCCATGTGAGTTTAAAGATAATGGAGCCGACAACGTGGGAAACCTCGCTTCATAGTCTTGGCATGCAAGTGACATGGCAGGTGACTTGCTATGATGTGCATATTGTGGTACAATCTCATATGGAAGCCTCCGAAATTCTTTAAATTATCATTAATGGGATGTAGTCTTGTAGTACCGAGTTAACAGTGACACGTCCCAGTAAGCAATGAGAGCCAAAATCGAATTCATACTAGCTTCCGAAGCTGCCATATTCCAGCACAAGAGCCCGTGACCTTTGATCGAAAAAGGACAGACCCTGGAGACTCCACTGCTGATCATTAGAAGCAAGGCCTTTGTCCATTCCGGCAACTGATTCATGTGCTTGGTGGCCGAGAAAGCATGTGATAAGCTAGAACCCAAGCCGAGAGAGAAAGTAAGAAAAGGGCATGGATGGATGACTGCGCCTACCAAGGAAACTCACGTGGACCTTTTCATATCCCTTTGTCTCTTACATATTTCTGTCTTTTTATATCATTTTTTATTGATTTGACTTGATTTGGTTGAGACGAATTTACATCGAGATCCAATCCAATCGTGACATGCCAGTGCACAGCTGACGTCGCGGGGCAAGCAAGGTCAATCTGGGGTAATGTCAATGCTGAATGACGCCTGTATTGAGAGGTGGCTTATAACGTTACAGAACAAGCAAAACTTGGAAGACTACCTAGAATTGTCAATGGCAGCATTTGTAAGTCCTCATTTCATTATCACTTCCCTTTTTATCTTGATACCTCTTTCGTCCCATTTCAGTTGCTGTGTTCCCCTCTATATCTCTTAGGCAGCCCTAGGAGCTTTGTCGCTAAAGTGGCGCCCCATGACATAACCGTCTGTGTCCTCTCAGCCCAGATCCAGGGCTTCACTTTAGTGACTTGACCCTCTGACGTCGCGTCGCGGCCGGCCACGCGGGCAAGTCACCACGATCAAGATTCTTATCACAACTCTCGTTTACACTGTTCATCGACTTTGCCGAAAATACCCATTAAATCGACTGGCCTGCTTATTAACAACACAACTTCATTAGGACACGCCGTGGCTGTCGCATCTTGCACCGGCGCCCATGTCTTCCCGCGATGATGCGTCTCACGGCGCATCACCTCCCTCGTACGAACCTCAGCCTTCGAGTACTGGTGCTCCTCCGACATTTGCATCTTTCTCTCCAGTAACGCTCTCCGCGAATACGCCATCCCGATCATCCCGAAGGTCGACTATCCTCGTCCACCAAAAGAGCCCCCTGCTCCTCGCTACTCCTCCACAGATCACCCGCGCTCTCGCCTACAGTCATCCCTTTCTCCTCCCGTTAAATACATTCGCAGGTCTCCTCACCTGGAGCACCGGAGATCCTTGGCAGAGCTTCTTACTATTGTGCTTCTTCTGGGCGGTTGTTCTGTATGGCGATGTAGTAATAACGTGGGCCGGCCCCGTCTTGGTCGGAGTGGCACTCATTGTTGGCATGTACGGCCGGAGATACAGTCCCCTCAGTAGCAGTGGGTGGACTGATATTCGAGGTCAGAATGCTGGCACCAAGGGAGCAAATCAGAACGCCGGCGAGAGCAGCCAGCAGAATGGAAAGGCAAACGCCGGCGAGAAACAGTCGAAACATGTTAGGGGAAATTCCGAAGTTACCAACACCAAACATCAGAAGACACTAGACGAGATCGTCGAGACTCTTAAACAACTTACTGGGAGATGTAATGTTCTGATGGAACCTCTGCTCGACATGACGGATTTCCTAAGCACTCAGACGACCCCAACTAGTGCGACCACGCGCCCGGCGCTGACTGTCATCTTCATGCGACTGCTTATCATCACGCCTATTTGGATTGCGCTTACTGTTCCTCCCTGGCGAGTTGTCACGACAAGACGTGTAATACTAGTGGCTGGAACCATCATCTTGACTTGGCATGCAAGGGTTCTGCGAGTATCGCGAGCCATTCTCTGGAGAAGCTCCACAGTTAGACGACTTGCAGCCGCCATCACCGGGTTGCAGTTTGATACACCCGAACAACCGTTCAAAAAGGACTTGGCCAAGGCTGCTAAGAAAGGCCCGGACCGTGTTGCTCAACAGCAGGAATCCGAACTTACAAAAGCCCTTGGCAAGTCGTCGAGCTTCCAAACTAATCATGGAAGAAGGAATGGCAATGCAAAGACTGCGGGTGTCAAGTTCACGTTTATTATATACGAGAACCAAAGACGATGGATTGGTTTGGGATGGACGAATAATCTCTTTGCATATGAACGGGCGGCCTGGACAGATGACCACAACAACTCAGTTCCCGCTAAAGACGATTTCGAACTACCCGAGGTAGAAGACGGAAGTCGTATGCAGTGGCGATGGGTTCCTGGAACCCGTTGGCGTGTTGACGGTGTGTCTGATGAGCATGGCCCTGTGGACTATGACGGGAATGAGGGGAAGAATGGTTGGATCTTCTACGACAACAAGGTGAGAAACCATCATATATGGCAACGCATTGTCTCCTCTAACAGGCTTTTAGTGGCAAAATGGCCAGCGGGGTCAAGATGGATGGGGTCGCTGGACCCGACGAAGAAAGTGGTATCGCGATGCCGAGTTGGTCGAGGTGGATCAACCGGAAGATGGCCAGGAGACTGAGAAGAAGCTTACAGAATCCCCTTCAGTGACGAAGCTCAGGTCTCAGCCATACAACTCCAGCAACGAAACCATGGTTCCCACACGAGCTGTGCCCGACCAGAGTCATGGTGAAGACATCAGTAACGATGACGCGAGCTCCAAAGCAGCAGACGATTCCTTGTCAGTACACTCGACATCTTCCAGATCTTTCTTCAAGTCGCCCTTGATGCGGAAACGAATCGCTGACCGATCCGGAGCGGATAACAAAGAGCGCACCAGAAGAGACAGTAGGACTAGTAGGACGAGTAGTTTGTACAACGATGATGACGCCGATGCTCTAAGTGCTGAGTTGGCCCTTGAAATCCAGAAACAGGGTAGGCCCGGTGGACAATGGGGGATAGGCGACGAGGCACGAATGAGTCTTGAGTAACGGTGCACTTTGACGGCGATACTGCATTGAGGTTATCGGCGTTTGATGGATTGGGACATATAGGTCAACGACTCGAATCATGACTGACTGGTAACCGGATAGTAGGTTTTGAGAGGGATGGCGTACGGTTGATTGATCATTATGTACAAGAGTAAGGAAGCGAGAACTCTTGGTGAATACCAGTAACGTTACTCGGTTGATTATGAACAAAGAAATTGATCCGTTTACTAGTCTACAGGCAGTGACGGTTCTCGACACTTCGATCTGAAGACGATACTCGAATGAGAACAAAGAAGGGCTCGTGATACTTGGCCGCGCTGAAGGGATACACAGGAAAAAAGGTTGTCACACTGAGGATATAGTCCATCGGTAGGCCTTAATAAGGTAGCTTAGGTAGGATGGCTCTTTCGTGGTAGTGCTGGTGTCGCTCCTTGCCAGTGCCCGTCGCTGCCAACTTCATAAAACATTATATCGTCGACTTCCAACCTCTCTTCAACAACTTTCTCCCTTTCCAAAATAACCGATTCTTTTCGCATTCCTTTCCTCTATCCACAAGAGTATCTACTATGGAACTTTCAGCCCCTCCTCGAGATGCGAATCGCACTCTTCGCAAAAAGAGAAGCAACCGCTCCAGCGCCCTGACCCTCTCCCTCTCCCCCGAACGCGCTCAACAACCTCAACAACGGAATCTTACATCTCCCGCAAAAGCATCACCATCAATGCGACCATCCTTCGTTTCCCCTGAACTTCTTTCTAGAAGCGCCTCATCAGCAACACACCACCGCGACATTTCCGGCTCGGGTCCATCACCAAGAACATCGCTCGCTAGTATCGACTACCCCTCCCGCGCTGAATCAGCACTTACCATTCGAGCTCCTTCTACTCATGAAAGAGGTGGTTCGCCGCCACTTACGCCGTTTCCTCCGTGGGTTAGCGAGGAGGAAGATGAAGGTGATGGAGATTGCGAGAACAGAAATTGGGAGGGATCTACAACCAGGACGGATGGCAAGAGGCATAGCTATGACGGAGGGCATGTCCCTGTGACGATTATGAGGGTTGAGGGGAGATGGGTTGTTATTTCTGTGGTACATGGACTCGTGCTCGTGTTGCAGTTTGCGGTGACACTGGGTGTTTTCAGTGCTTTGATGTGGGTTACCGTCTGGAAGGAGAATGAACCTGGTAACGACTTTGACAACTGGTAAGTCAGCCTTACTGACCCTTAGAACACATCTAATAGGTCTCAGGCTCTGGAAATTCGCGGACCCTACCCTCGTCGTTGTCCTTCTCCTCTGCTCAGCAAGTCTTTTGATCCACGAAGCCAAACTTCTTTCGTCAGTCGCACTACTCTATCTCGAGTCTCTCATCCTTGCTGCTACGACACTATCGAGTCTCGTGCTTTGGGCCCGGTGCTTCCAGGAGGAGAGCCGCAGCGTCAAAGGTGTGTTGATGGGGTGCAATGTCATGATGTGGGGACTTGCTCTCTTTGGATTCATCCGAGCTGTTGTTATATGGAAAGTAGAGTCTCAGGATGATGAAGCTGATCAGGAGAGGGCGGTCATGTACGGAACCTTCGTTCCTTGGGATGGGAGGAGGGAGTCTGTATGAGGAGGTATAAGGAATCAGAAGTCTCTGATGATTGTGGTCTGGATGCTGGGGAAAGATCATAGCCCAGTAGAAACCAGGCAAAAAGACTTCTGGCCTTCTCCTAGGTAGTCAGTTCCTCAAGCTGGAGATCTAACTAGACTAGTGGTCAGATAGTGCAACATGGACACACCATGGCAGATAGTAATGTTGAAGTCGAATAGCGCCTCCAAGAACAAGTCTATCTTCAGAACTTTGGACTCTTGGCACCTTTTGGCCTCAAAATCAGAAGGTCATAACCTCATCTAGTATGTTTTTCGTCCACCTAAAGCAAGCAATCACCACAACTCAAGTACCGTCTGGACCAGGCCGATGGTTACGCGAAGGGTCGCCCGTTTCATATGATCTCCTACCTATTCGAGCAACCGCACTGCAAGCCATTTTGAGAAAGCGGATATAAAGCGCCACTACGGCTATTTGAAATTGACCCAAGCCTTTCAGTGCTTACTCTTGCAGATTCCGTCTCGGCCTAGTACCTCAATTGGAGCGGAAATTCCACAAGGCTGAAGAGAAACGACCCAAAAAGTGGGCGTAGGATCACGCTTCTGCAATTGAGGTAGCATTGACACATGGGCAGGAATCTTGGCGAGCTTTGTCTGGAAAAGAACCTCCAGGATGGCTCAATGAGGTTGACAATGGCCCCCAATGGCCCTCAATTGCCCTGGCGTGCGCTCGGGGTGTTGTAAGAGTTGAGACTGGAATCAGAGGGAGAAGATGAACGGGTCAAAGAACTTGCCAAGTTTATACCAAGACTTGTAAAACATTATAAAAAACTATAAAATATTTCAAGTTTTTTAAGTAGACTTATATTTATTTGTTAGACTTCAGGGTCTGAGCCTTCTGCTATTCCCTGGTCTGCTTAATTCCGCGTGGTGTTGATACAATACTGGGCTTTCAGGGATTTCCTGAAACAACACTCTGAGAAAGTAAGCATAACCGGAAACTCATGCTGATTTTTGGCAGGGTTTGAAAATTTATTGGAGTCTTTGAGCGAGCTAGCGAATAAGAGAATGCGTTGGAAGATAACCCTTGTAGTACGGAGTATGGATATCTAACATAAGACTCCCATGCAACCTGGAGCCTTGACAAGACGACACTCGGCCGAGAGGAACATTGTGAATGTTTGCAATAATGACGGGTAATTATACTCCTTGTATTCAAGTTTAATAAATACCTTGGTCAGTCAAAATGTGTGTACCAACACCATAAGCGAGCCGGGGCTTTATAAGAGAGAGTAGAGAAGGGCCAAAGCACATTGCAGAAGTAAACCGACGCTGGAAGATGTAGTCCCAAAAGCTCGAGTATAGACAAGGTTGAGCTAGCTCAACATGCTTAACCTATCTATCCTTGCCTGTTTGGTTCGCATACAGGGTTTATAAGGCTGCTGCATAGGGAGTGACACTTGGCCCCCAACTTCGAATAGGAAGGACGACGGAGTAGGTAGTTGTGAGAGAATTGGATGCTACTGCTACATTTCAGATTTTGAAACTTCTTTTCTTCATATTGGTGCACGTTATGGAGTGGCTCTGTGGTGCCGCGCATGCGTGGCGCTTAAGCCTCTCCCATGGGAGGGAGAACTGGTAGGCACTGCATACACATATATAGCGGACCCCTTCCTACTGCCAAGGCTTGCTCCATCGGCTCTCTTGATATTCATTCTATCTTATCATTCTATCTTTGGTCTATTCTTCAGCCCCTCACGATGAGCTTCACATCTCCCACCGGACAGTTCAAGCCCTACCAGGCCTTCGGCTCTGGGTCTTCATCGACAAAACCACCAGCTCAGTCTTTCTCATCAAGAGTTGACTTTAGCGACCAATCATACGATATGCCTTACTTTGCAGGTTCTGGTGTTTCTGTATCCAACCCTCAGACAAACTATGCGAGCACTGCGCCGAAACAGCCTGTCGCCGACGCTCCGCGAGGCTTTACACTGAAGCAATTATCAGACGCCCCAAAGACAAAGAGCTTTGACAAGAAGGGACTCTCCAACATTCCAAATACTTCTCAACAAGGTACTTGTGCTATAAGTATGACCGGTGCACACTTTGCTAACTTCATATTTTAAAGCTCAGCCTTCGCAACCTCTCAAGGCCAAGATAGATTACACAGAATTCCTTAAGAGCCTTGAGTTTCCCTCGATCGCCGACAGCAAGATTGGCCACGGCTCTGGAGATCTTGGTAAAAGTCAATGGTTGGTTCAAGAAGCTCTCTTCACCAAATGGAGGACTTCCAACGGGCTGCTTTGGCTGAGAGGTTCAGAAGGGAGTGGAAAGTCAACCTTGATGAAACAGGCTCTTGAGTCGTGCCAGGGGCCAAGTTCAATTCACTTGACCTACTCTTTCTTTCCTTCAGGAGACGAGACCAGAACACGTCTAGGACTATTCAAGTCCCTCCTACGCCAACTAGTCCCTCAGGCACCAGAGGCCTTCAAAGGCATCAAGGACAGGTTTGAGAAGATCCAGTCTTGCTTACCTCCCAAACAACAAGTAGCCTGGAACGCGCAAGAACTCTTGGATGAACTAATCAAAGTTCTTCCAAAGATCCTCAGAACCCATTCGGTCTCCATCTATGTCGATGGTCTCAATTACTCGGAAGGCGAAACGGCTCCCAAGCTTGTGCAAGACTTTTCCAAGTTGATCGAAAAGTCTCAGATTCCCACCAAGGATCCCGCGACAACTCATGGACTAAGAATCATCTTTTCCAGCACACCTTATCCTATGAAAGATCCTTTTCCTAGATTGTGTATTCAAGTTGACGAAAAGAATGGACCAAGTTTGAGAAGGTATTTGGAAGCACAGCTCTCCAATATTGACCTCAATACACAACGGTTGGTCTCAACTAAGGCCGGCTCTTCTTTCATCTCGGCTCGTTTGATCGTCAATCACATCAAGCTCTTCGGACCTGGGCAGTCATCTCTTGTTCAACAGCCATCGCCTACACCCGCGCCAATCTCTTTCTTGCTCGGCGCTTACTTCCAGGACATGGCACACCAGGGGAGCAATGGTCTCCTTTCACTCTTTAAATGGTGTTGCTTGTCATCGGGGCCACTTAGTCTGCCTGATCTTCGGGTCGTTTTGGCTCTCGATGCCCTCCCTAAATTTGGTTCCATCAAGGAATTGTCACAGATGGAGTACTTTACTCGATTTGGTTCTGATGAGAGTTTTCAATCCTGGATCAAGACTACTTCTTGGGGTCTTCTTGAAGCTGTGACTGTGGGTGGTCAGAAAGTTGTGAAGCCTATGCATGACAGCGTGTCGGATTTCTTTATCTCGAAGGGGTTGGACATCCTTTCTTACAAAGCTCAGGCTGCAGGCACCACAACCTCTCCTCTTCAGCAGGCTCATCATTCCATCGCCACTTGCCTCCTGCGATACCTCGCAATCCTGTCCAAGGAACCAAGATGGGAGTCGATGACTCGCACAGACCCAACACTCCGACTCGCCGGATACGCTGGGGCTAGCTGGTCTTATCACATCACTTCTGCAGGCTTGGGAAAACCAGAAGCCTCGAAGATCCTGAAGATTTTGGGTTGGCCATCGGATCAAACACTCAATGTCTTGGTCAAGCTTGGCCTTGGCGGTCTCCAGGGGACACTCTGGACTCACCTATTTGCCATTTATGGCCATGCTCACTTACTTTCAGTCGCTACTAGAAAAGCTGGAAATGATGTCCTTGACGTCCAGGATCGCCAAAAGAGGACGCCTTTACACCTGGCTGCTCTTCATGGCCACTCAACTGTATCAAAGCAACTTCTCAAGTCGGGAGCAAAGACAAATGGCCAAGCAGTTAGCGGGGATACAGCCCTTCACTTTGCGGTCCTTCAAGGTCACCAAAGTATCATGAAATACCTGCTTGAGCGTGACCCGAATTTGGTCTCTGTAGCAGATGGTCAATCGCACACGCCACTGTTTTCAGCCGTCTTTCGTGGAAGCTCGTCTGCAGTGAGGCTTTTGCTTGATAAAAGAGCTGATCTCAGGGCTCTTGACACATATGGCAACTCTGTCCTACATCATGCTGTGAATACAGAAAAGTCCAGTGTCATAAAGTTGCTTCTGGATAGTGGCTCAGACGTCAATCGACAGAATGCACAGGGTCGTACCCCTCTACATCTTGCCATTGTTGGAGATCATTCTTCTGCTGTCAAGGCATTACTTGAGAGATATTCTCGAACAGATATTGCAGATAATCTCGGCAGAAGAGCTCTCCACGAGGCGGTTTTGTCAGGGAACAAGGCTTGTACGCAACTTCTCTTGAAGCACAGAGTGGCTGTTGATGCAAGGGATAACGACGGCCAGACGGCGTTAGTATATGCTATTCAAGGCCGCCACGGGAGCCTCTTGAAGCTTTTGCTCGAAGGAGGTATTGATATCAATGCCATGGACAAGTATGGTTTCACCATGATCATGGTTGCTGTTAAAGCGTCTGACGAGAAACTCACCCGAATCCTATTGGAAAAGAATCCGGATCTTGATCGACTAAGTCGTGAAGGACACACCGTCGCTTTCTATGCCATTTTCAGAGGGAAAGCAGTATCTTTTCTGTCCAAAGAAGAACAATCGATCGCTTCGTTGCTCTTCAGACGCTATCAGAAAAGGTATAAGGTTTGGCATCCTGAGTGGAAGGAGTGTCAACAAGAGTTCATGGCCAAACATGGGAAGAAGAAAGACGCAAGCAGTAAGATGAAGAATAAAGTCAAACCTTCCAAGGTTAAGAATGCCCCCCTGACATCAAACACCGATGCTGCTTCAAAGCCTCCCAAGTCTCGAAGATCCTCCAAGGTTCCGGCCAATATCGTCTCAAAGACACCCAGTAGTGTCCCTAAAGCCCGAGCTGATGAACTTAAGAGACCTCAAGAGGCTCAAGGACCTCCTAAGCCTGCACCGCAGAATGAAATGACAGGAAAGCCCCAGAGCCAGGGTCAGAGCCAAAGTCGGCCTCAGGCGACGGCAAACACATCCGCTCCTTTAGCCCCTAGCAACTCAGTGCCGAAGGTCTCTACGGGAGTGCAAGGAAACCAGATGACTACCCTCAGTAGCTCTATGGTAGCATCAGTAAAGCCAGGGACGCAGCAATCTAGACCACTTTCCTCCTTCGCGAGTTACCAACCTCCTCGGATCCCCAGCGGGAGTGGAAGTGGAAGTGGAAGTGGAAGTGTTTCAGATGCCAAAGCCAAGGAACAGTCTTCAAAGCTTCCCCAAGCTCCTTATCATGGTGGCCCCTCTTCTACTTCTGTTCCGGCGAAAGCGCCCATGGTACAGAGAGGAAGTTGGGATATTTACAGTTCCCTAGCATCAGGCTCTCCAGCACCTGCTCAGACCGTACAGTCTCAGAAGGCGTATGTTCCATATCCTGGTACGCCCCAAACAAGCCCGGGAGCAAGTCCGGCTTCAGCCCAGTGCTTCCAAACGTTCCAACCATTTTCATCCGTCCAAGCCCAAAAGACTTCTTCACCCACAGCCCCAGTGCCTTCGAGTCAGTTTGAGAAGAGGTATTCGGTACCCTCACTTAACTCTTGGGGGCAGCCTGGAATTAGCGGTTCTGCCTCTGCCTCTCCAGCTAGCCAGAATGCACCAGCACAAGCATATCAAGCATTTGGAGCCACGTCCCAAAAGCCGAATATGACACAGCAACAGATTAATGCACCTTATCAGAAGCCTGCAAATCCAGTACCTGCAGCCAAACCTCATATGCCTCAGGTAATACGCAAACCTGTCGGAGGAAAGCCTGCTATGCAAGCAGCGGCTGAGAAGCCCACTCAACAATCTTCGTTTCTTCCGTGGCAACAACCGCAAGCTCCAGCAGGAGCAAAGTCTCCTCCGGTACCAATCCAGGCACAAGTTGGTACGACACAGTCCTGGCTGAGCAAGCCGCATATCCCTGCCGGCCCAGCACAGACTCCCACGAGCAAGTCACAAGCTCCAACAAGTACGACGCAGTCTATGCCAGGGAAGAGTCCAGGTCCAAGTGGTGCAAGTGTTCCAGTGCCATATCTACCAAACAAGGCTCCAGCTTCTACTGGGACGTCACAGCCTGCACCTACCAAGGACCAAGTTCATCCTGTGACAGTACAAGCTCCACCAGGAAAGCCTCCAGCTCAAGGTGGTATGCCTCCAAGAAAACCTCAAGCGGCTCCTGGGGTAGTACAGCCCCAGATGTCCAAGCCCCAAGGACAAGCTCAGGCTCATCCGCCGAGTGGAAACACAGCCCCTGTACCACACAAGGCTCAAGCTCCTCCCGGAGAAACACAACCTCAAGTTGCCAAACCAGCAGCAGTACCACCCAAGTCTCAAACACCGACTGGAGCAGTACAACCCCAAACAGCCAAACCTCAGGCACAAAATGTTAAAGCAGAGCCCCAAGCACACAAGGTGCAGGGTCCCCCAGGAACTTCGCAGACTCCATCAGGAAAGTCTCAGGGTCAGGGAGGTTTACTTTCACAGAAACCTCAAGTATTTACTTCAAAAGTTCAGAGTCAACCAACAAAGCCTTCAGTCCAAGGCGGTACATCTGCACAGAAGCAGCCTGCAGTCCCGAAGCCTTCTGTCGCAGCCCCTGCAAAGCCTTCTGCTACCTCTACTCAGCCTCAAAAGGCAACGCCCGATCAGAGAAAGCCTGTCCCATCACATACTGGACCAACCCCCGGAGGTGTCAAGTCTCCTACGAGCATCCTAGTACAGGGGAGTTCTGGCCAGAAACCCAATCAGTACATCGACAAGAATTCCACGATATCTCCAGTACCTCATTATAGTGAAGCCTTCTTCCGTGGACAAAACGGCGAACAGACGCAAACCTCAACTTTTACGTCAACCAGAGAATTTACAAACAGCTACGACCCAAACACACAACAGACGGGTACGAGTAGTATGTCCAGTGGCAAGATGGCTGCAGCTGCCGGCGTTGGCGTTTTGGCTGGAGCTGGTGGTGGTTATTTCCTGTCTTCCGAGATTCGTGAAAATTACTCTAATCCAAGCATCACCGATGATAGCAGCTACATCCACATGGATGCAGGTATGAGCCAGCAATCTACATATGACTCTGATCGGGAACTGGAAACACATGTGGAGTTTTCAAATCATTCTGAAGAGTTTTCCGAGTCTGAAGACGAAGCCAACTCTACCAACGACAGTGGCTCTGATGGCTTTTTGTCCGATGAAGAGTATGAGCTTTCAGACTCCGAGGTTTCTGGAGGGCAAGCTTCATCCGATGATGAGACCTCGGATTGGGGAGAGTCAGACGCAGAATCGATTCATGAAGACTCGGACTCTGATGAAATTGATATGGATAGCCCATACATGTCCGCCGATTTTACAGATAGTGAAGCTTCAGAAGCAGGCCAAGCTAGTGCTGGAGAAGTCTCCGAATCTGACGAGGAAGAGTCTGTTAACAATGAATCCGAGGATGAGCTCGACGATTCGGTTCAGTCTATGGGATTTCAGCACCAGAGTTACGCCGACCAGCAGTATCAACATCAAGGGTACTTCAATGAACAATACCAACAACCCATACCTGAAGAACCTGAGTCTGAGGAAGATGTCCAGCCAAGTTTCCAATCTCAGTATCAGCAACAAGGTTATTTCAATGGTCAATATCAGCAACAGGTAGCTCAGCAAAGCGAGTCAGAAGAGGACGAACCACAAGCTTTTCACCAACAGTATCAACAGCAAGGTTACTACAATCAACACAATCAAGTCGCTGAGCAGATTGAATCGGAAGAGGATGAGCCACAGAATTTCCAGACCCAGCAGCAACAACAGCAGCAGGGCTACTATGGTGGGCATCAGCAAAATCAAGCGCCTGAACAAAGCGAGTCTGAAGAAGAGCCCTATCAACAACAGTACCAGCAGCAGGCTTACCATCGTGGGCAGCATCAACAACAAGCAACTCAGCAACACGATTCTGAAGATGAAGGGCAACAAGTTGGGCACAGATCTGGTAATTACGACAGTGACCAAGAGGTTGAGAGTGATCAAGACATGAATAATGGCTATAGCAGCGATGAACAGGATCAGCAGGCTACCAGTGGACAATACAGTGGAGGAGGCTGGGGCAACAACTATGATTCTGATTATTAGTGGGATGAAAGACTTGCAGTTGTTGGTTGTTATCGTGTTGGAAATGATTGGAGTTGAATGGTTCCGTCTAGAAACGAGTTTTGGATATGTAAAAGATTGAATATTCTCATACTAGCTCTGATGATTGACAAGGCCAATTATGACAGCGGAAACGGTCGTGTGAATACCAACTAAACCCGAAGTGAGAGGCCCTTTCAACCGTTATAACTGTGTATCAAGACCTTCAGAACATAGTGACTCACGCCGAACAGAGGTCACCTAAGTTTAGGATACTATCCTAAACTGACCACTAAGATTAGAGCACAATGCATGAACTCATCATAAATAACCATAAAATTACCCTGTTTTTCTATAAAGCCGCTAGTTTATTTCGGATTGTTCACCATTTTCTTGGACGACTCCATAGTAGAACCCCACGGGGCTATGCTTCGAAGAGAAGTGGATCGAGTATCATGCATTCAAGAGAACTAATACCTCAATCGTAGTGAAACAATTTCTCATAATTATCCGCTGAGCGTATAAATACTCCTTCCCCCTCTCACTTCTTCTCATTGTTCACGAGACCAAAAACTCACAATCTCACCATCAAAATGTCGTCCTCAGATATCCGAGTCGAGCCAATCACCAATCCCGGCGACTTCACGCAGGCTTTCAGAGCCGTCGCTAATGCATTTGGCCACCAAACCCGTGATGCCATCTGGATGGCCTTCAACCCAGGCTGGGATACTCCTGAGGGTGAAAGAGTCGGTACTCAACGTCTAGTTGATCGCTTTTCACACATCACCATGAACCAGGACGGTCAACCCAACACCATCTTTGTAAAAGCCACCATCGACAACACCATCGCTGGCCTCGCTATATGGGAACAAGCCTCTGTTGTTCCAGGCTATGGCAATCCCCCCAGTGATCTTGAAGCATCGGGTTATTTAAAGATGTTGTACCCTGGAAACGAAAAGGAGCAGAGATTTCTTGCTCAGGCGGATAAGTCACTCTTTGGACGACGAATTGAGATCATCAACGAGAAAGCTGAGGCATCTCCCCCTGCAGTTTTTGTAATGGATCTTTGTGCTGTTGATCCAAAGTTTCAGAAAAGGGGGCTTGCGTCTAAGATGGTGCAATATGGCCTTGATGAGGCCAAGAGAAGGAATTTGGAGTGCGTTACTGAGGGATCGACCATGGGAAGGTCGGTGTATTTGAAGTTGGGCTTTAAGCAAGAGGGTCCTGAGACGGTCTATAACATGGATTATGAGTTCAAGGATAGGGACTTGCCATCCAATGTCGTTCTAAGGACAGGCATCTAAAACCAAAGCGAATGAAATAGAATATAAAATGTCTCATATTGTATGACAATTTGCTCATCGTTACTCGTGCCCAATCTCGTCGCCAATTTTGTTTCTTACAGGGTATGAGGCTTCACCTTCAATCCTTCGGGCATCTTCCAATGATTAACAACACCACCCCAACTCTCCTCGTTATATCCCTCCTGGACCTTTTGACAGGTTCTCAATCCCCACTGTGTAACACCAACCATCAAACAACTCTCAAACATAAACGCACAACTTCCTGTTCCAACCTTGGCAGGCTTAAGCTCTGCGTTCCTGGCACCCTCTGTGCTCTCTGCGTCAGGGCCGTGACCGCTCATGACGTTGTGAAGACTTGCACCACCGGGGACAAAACCACCTGCGCCGCCCTTCTTGGCATCGTAACCACCTTGGATCAGACCCATGAACTCGCTCATCGTGTTTCGGTGATACCACGGTGGTCGGAACGTATCTTCACCGACGAGCCAGCGTGGTGGGAAGATTACAAAGTCGGCTACTGCTGTACCAGGAGTGTTGGTTGGTGCTGAGAGAACGGTGAAGATAGATGGGTCAGGATGATCGAAGGAGATAGTGCCGATAGTGTTGAAGCGCCCGAGGTCGTACTTGTAAGGATAGTAATTTCCATGCCAGGCTACCACATCGAAGGGAGTATGAGCTTGCACAGTCTTGAAGAGGTTATTGTTGAACTTGACGGAAACAGTATACTTGCTAGACCCCTCAGAAGCAGTAGCTCCAAAGTCTTCAGAGAAGCAAGCAACGGGAGACTGGAAGTCACGAGCATTGGCAAGGCCGTTTGAACCAATTGGACCAAGCTCAGGGAGGTTGAAGTGACCTTGATAAAGCTCAAGAGCATAACCACGGGCTGGGCCGGAGGGAAGATGGACTTGGTACTTGACGCCTCGGGGGATGACAGCAATTTCCATGGGTCGAACAAGAAGCCAACCGAACTCGGTGCGGATATCAAGAGCGCCCTCTTGTGCGACGATGAGAAGATCACCGTCGGCAGAGTAGAATGCTGATTTCTCATCCATGCTCTTTCCAGCGGCATAGATATACATACCCAGTCCTTCCTTGAGTGTAGGATCTCCAGCACCAGCAACGAGCCTCAAACCAGTGACAAAGTCTAGATCCTTGGATTCATTGTGGTCAAAGGGATCCCAACGGAGCTGGTTGGGGATGTAGTGCAATTTTCCATCCTCAGCGCCGTCGAGAGTCTTGTTAGTGTCGCCTGTTGACCTTGTATCCTCTTGGTAAGGAGGATGCGCGCAGGATGGTAGAACGCGGTATAGCCATGTCTGCTTATTCTCGTGTCGCGGTGCAGTAAAGGCAGTCCCAGAGAGTTTCTCGGCGTAGAGACCGTATGGTGGCTTCTGAGGAGAATTGTGTCCGATGGGCAAAGCACCATCAACAGCTTCAGATCTAGCAAGTAATCAGAAAATATTCGCAACCCGCGCAGAACAGAAATGATACTTACTCTAAATAACAGTTGAAGCCATTCTGATATCTGTACTTCTCCTTGAGATCAAACGTTGTGACAGGCATCTTGGTATCCTTTGACTGTTTAAGTTTGAGTGTCGTTTCCCCTCAGTAAATGGGCGAACAAGAAGCTTATAACTGCGTTCCCACGGCTTTGCGAACTTCCTGTCTCGATCAACGGATGACGTTCTGTAGCCGTGTAAGCCGTCAACTGTCAATTCCGCACTGAGTATGGAAAACGGCCCGACGTTAGCCGGGGAAGCATTGCGCCTGTGTTCCGCTGATGAATGTTACCTGACAGAGGGAAATAAGCCCGATAACAGCTGATTTTATCGCATATGGCCGGAATAAGTTTCTGTAGAATATGGAAGCTAATTAGTTATATCAACCAAGGTGTAGCTGGGCTTGGAGATTTCCGACCGGAAACTAGCTCAAGGATTTCCGATTATAGGTAACCGAAGCCATCGCCGCGGGGTAACTCATGTGGGCCTCATGAGTGAGGAGCTTAAGCCGGGGAACATGTGGGCAATTGGCTCATCATGTCTTCTCAAATTCAACTTCAGTTGGCAATTAACTTCAGAGTTCATGAACTTCCAATTGTGTGGGGAATGTATAAATTATATCGAGGAACCACGATACATGGAACCTCAAACGCCGACCGAATCGACCAGCGATAACAAGAACTATAGAGGTGTACACCAAGCGACGCTTCCAGCAGTCGCAAACAACATGACCAGGCCGAGAATATCTAGACGCAATATCCCGAGCGCCGACTCGCAACGAAACCAGCGAAACGAACAAGAATTATAGGAACTATTGAGACAGATACCGGAGTGGAATGAAGCTATTACTCGTCTTGCTTCTTGTTCTTCTTCTTCTTTCCACCACCGGAAGGACCACCCAATGTTGTGCTTGTGGGCTGAGCCTGAAGGTGAACAACAAGTTGGGTCCATGACTCTTCCTTGTCCCACTCGAAACCAGCGAGGTAGGGCTTGTCGAGCTCATCATCGGCCTGGGTATGTCAGTCAGTATTCTTAGGGAGGGTGGCTCAGAGGTCCAAACATACCCGCTTCTTATATGCCTTGTGGATAGCGTCTAGTGCATCCTTGATTGTTACACCCTTGAGGTTTCGTGCTGTTACCTCCTTTCCTAGTGGGAAGTGAAGGTCGATTCTCTTGACGGGCGGTTTTGACAGATGAAGCTTGAGGATGGCAGGGTCTTCTATTGTGTTGGGACTGGTGTTGATCTTCCTATACGAATGGGTCAGTGGCTGTTTCTTGATGCATGTGCAAGTCGAATTGCGGGGTTTAACTCACCATCCCGTCTTCTGGGTCTCGGGTGCGAGCTCGAGGTCAATGCCCTCGGCCTCTAAAGAAAAGGGTCAGAGAGAGGTCTTAACGGTGCCCTCATGGCCTATCCGATATCGGAAGGAGACAGGGTAGTGATGTCAAAGCTTACCAAGGTCATTGACGTTGTAAACGCCAGGTGCTGCTGCTGAGCTTTGTCGCCGCGTCTTCTTGTCATCCTTGGCGGGAGGTGAGCTTGAGAGGCCCTGAACGGCTGAATCGACCTTGGAGAGAGGTTCCGTCATTTTGAGTTGTTGTTATGTGGTTGATCGAGAAGATCTGATTTGATAGTTGATTCTGTTAAAAAAGAGAGTAAGGTTAGTGATGATGTTGTAGAAAAGAGGTGTTGGAGGGAGGAATGGTGGTGCATATAAAAGAGGATGTACGAACCTTTTGCGTTAAAAGCAGAAGATTGTAAGTGAGATTGGATTGCTGTTGTGCTTTGAAGGTGTGATGAGGAGGGAGGAGAGGGAAAGGGCTAGATGGAGGGGAAGGGGTTGTTACTTATTGCATTCACAAACGCACTTGCCATTCGGCGTCGTCCATGTCCGATGTTTGCATTGGGGCATGCAAATCCTCAGTCATCCAAGGCTTCACTCACTCATTTGCATTACTATACTGCACTGTACCGTACCTACTGAGCTGTCGTCAGACTGGGCGGGGTAACTGCCCACCTCACACCTCACCCGGAACGGAAGGGAAGGACGAGACCTAGGGGGGTATGAGTATCATTGTGGTGACAGAGGAGTCTGTGCCTGCGCCTGCGCCTCGCTCCGTTCCTCGAACCAAAGCAATCAATGCTACTCTAGTCGATGTACAGTTACAAGCAACTACGGATGCATTCAAGTTATTGTGGATTCCATCATTACACACTGTTGCGTTGCGTTGTGTTGTGTTCTGATAAACGCTGTTGGACAATCGCGTGACTTTGGCCTGACGGAAGGCGTGACGCCCCTGGCTCCAAGCTCAGCAGACCAGACCTGGAGCCGCAACGGGTTTAGCGCCGGCGCGATGCAAACCCACTGACGCAGGGAACCCGCTCTACGTACCGGTCTGGTACCCGCTTAGAGACCACCTCGGGTTAGCGCAGTGCACCACAATCCGGGGAAAGCTTGTCCTGGGATCCACTGCGATCGGTCGTTGTGGGTTGTGGCGCGTGTGCAAATGGGCCTGGTCGATCGAGTGATTGAGTGGTGAGTGGACACAGAGCAGTTGACGCTCGCGGAAGGCCGCGGGAGAATCATGAGGTCAATCATTAATGTCGATACGGTGAGGGAATTGGGAAATGAAAGGTGAAGATACGGAAACAGATCTTGAGAGGGGAAGGCGTGGCCGATCAGGACATACCAACAAGATTGGCACTTTGGTTTGATTCAGCCATGCCATCCATTCCCTTGTCCCCCTTGGTCATGAGCTATGACGAGGGATCGCCAGTTGCGTTTCTGCCCCTCACAGGCTCATTCATCCCGTGGCCCCCGGAGACTTCGGCTCGCGGATGCGGTGCGGTGCTTTGGCGCCTGTTGGCTTCAACTTACAACTCACCTGACTATTGATATGTCCTAGACATGACTGTACTGCGTCTGGACATGCATCGACAGCATCTAGGCATCCTAAGGTCGTGGCTAAGGAGCAAGAGGCACCTTTGTCGTAAAGACGACATCGATGGAGACTCTTCTGCAATCAATCATCATCTCCCGTTCCCCTCCCTCAGCAACGCCCGCGTGAAACCTTGTGGCATCAAACTGAGGGGAAGTGCTAGGTCGATTGGCTGGTTGAGTTGCTACTAGCTTGCACCTTGATGCGCCGAGTCAATCGAGACGCCTTTGGTATCAGATGGGTGTCAATCAGTCTTGTTTACAGGAATCCTCTTGTCGAGATCGGCTTGAGCTAGGGTCTTGGCTATACTGCCGCTGATATCGTACCAGGCGTCATGCTTTTGAGACCAGGTTGGGACTGCCGTGATGGCGCGCGATACGTCTGTCTCCCCATGGGCAGAGGGCGCGTGCCAGGTTCCTTGTGACATGTCCCTTGTACCTGAATTCATGTAAATGTACCTTGCTCTTTTCGTGACGCTGCCACAAAGGAGACGACTCCCACATAAAGAGGGCATCTCTGCATCTCGGCCACCCCTCCACTCCTGGGATCACTGGTCCATACAACTTCATCCAGCCTCAGTATAGAGTGCTAAAATCTTCGTTTTTCCTTATTCTCTTTTTCTCTTGCTTTTGTTTCTATAGCTTCACGTTATCATTGTCTTCCTCTTTCACCCCGTGTCTTACATGGCCATCGTCAACATCCGATAGTGGGGTCGGCAACAGGCGACATCAAGTGGAGACGTTTGGATGGATCCCGTTAATCCCTGGCTCTCCTTCACTCGCTCACTCAGTGCCCAGCTGGAGTTTTGGCTAGAGCGTTATCAGCTCACTCAAGCGAGCATGCCACCTTTTTAACGAACTCGACCGCCGAGAGGCGAGCGCCGAAACGCAGTCGAAGAACGACGACTTGAACAGTAAAACTGGATGATTCGCATGTTGTTGAACCGATTGATCACGAGAACTTCCTTCTGACTCACTTTTCCACCTCATCCATCTGGACTCTCTCCCTACCAAACTTGCAGTGAACGCGATACGAAGCGATAATAAGCTCGATGCGCAATGACTTCATCCTCAGCAACGGAACAGGCTCCACGTGATGCGATCCCATGATAATCCTCGGAAGCTTCAATTCGCACGCACTCGCGGCACGGTCCAACGATAAGCAAGAAATCAATCAGTAAATCAAGCTCAGATCAGGTCGACACCGACTTTCTTTCAGCAGCGTCAGATCATTTTACCCGTAACCCCAGGAATAGACATGTCCAGCCGCATACGCAGCAAGGAATAACTGCCACGCAATCCACCGTGTATTTTGCCAGGATATAACCTATGGATAATCAACCTGCCGGGAATGGTATGTATCAGTGTCTGTGGACGCGAAACTGACAATGTCATGCCTCTCCATTTAGTTCTCACCTTGAGGCTCATCCATTCGATTTTCCTGAGACTCGGTTCACTTCATCCGCCGTCCTTCAGTTAGCATAGTACGATTAGATTTTAGTCCCTAGCGTCCATCGCCATTCCGCCAGACACCGTCTCGAGCGACAGTAACAAGCATCATGATGCGGCCAAACCATCCGTGAAGATCCTCGCAATCGACGTTCCAGCCCGTTCAGTGAAGACGTATTCCATTGCAGCTGAACCGCCAATTCCGACCATTATGTGACGACTACGTATCTACAATGACGCCTGTTCCGTATACGATTACAAGAGTTGTGGAGGATGACGGGGGAAGTTGGCTTTAGTGTTACCCTGGAGGAGAAGGGAGATATATGGTTGGGTAGACTTGGTCGACGAATCACGAGGTAGTTGGCTTTGTAAATGTCCACTGGAAGTAATAGCTAACAAAAATATCAAGGTTATGAAATTAATTACAAGTCGACCGAATATTGATCCTATCACTATCACGTTTCTAAGCCACTAAAAGTCGCCATGTTCGACAGCATGAAATCGGGGCTTGTGGGAGGGCAGGATTGACTTTGAAACCCCTCAATTTAACGTTATGTTACCACTGTCATGTATCAGTGAGCAACACCACGATGCCGTTGGTAGTGGATCTATGTTCTGTTGTTTCGAGGCTGGTCGACGGTCATCGCGAACGAATATTACTACCACCAATTTGCTGGTATCTCCTCAGAGCCTAACTAATGGGCACACGAGTTGAAGCATACCCCGCCAAAACGCGTAAGATACTTCTTCGTCTTCTCAACAGAAACCATGTTCTTACGGACAGGCCATATTTGGTCTGGCTGACTCTCGCCCGACACGTTTCCGGACTCGATTACGCAATGAAGGAGAACCCATAAACAACACACCGACATGATGGGACGTAACGCAAATCCGGCTATTTTGCCAGACCATAAGCAATTTGAGCCTTCAGCAACATCCATATGGCCCTGAATTGTTGGATATTAGCCAACATGCTGAAGGCGACGATTATGATCGTCAACTCAGAAGTGCAAAGTCGGGAAGAATGCATTTACAGAAAGCCACATGAATTTTTGCCCGCGTCCTCCGATCTACGGCCTGGGTGCCCAAACAAGCAACGCCAACAACCTCCAAAGACATGTTGGTTATTGTTGGAATGGATGGCAAAGATTTCCACGAAGACGATTTTAAGTAGGATAGGCGGTGTTTGAATCTGGCATTGCCAGGGGCGAGACCATTTTTGTCAATGACACTTCTTCAAAGAAAGAAAGAATAAACGAGATCCTCTTATCCTACGATTACTTGAATCTCCTAAAGATTGAATTGTTGACCGAGTATTGAATGCTTAAATACGGGTATCATTTCATCTAGAATAAAAGCTCTGATCATACACTCATGCCTTTTGGCCCTCATAACCTCCGCTCTATGTCATCTGAGAATCTTCCCTAACATGATTTATCGGGAACCCGTTTGCAATAGCAGCCCCTTCTAATTGCTTTAGCCACGCTGAGCCATCTCCTGCTGGCACAGGTCGATGCGAAAGATTACACTCGACAAAGATGGAATCGTCCATGTACTGCCAATCCGACACTTCAATCGCACTCTCAGAGAGTGAACCCTGAAATGGCGAGGAGCTTAGTGCTGCACAAGTCCATGCCATCTGTTGTAATATCTCAATCATGGTGTGTGTCCATGCTGATACTGTCAACCGTATTGAACCATCCTCGACTTCGACATGCAGCAGACGTAGACCAGGACATAAGAATGGGTTTTCGGTACCATCCCAAATCGACATGCCGGTGAATGAGTGGCCCTCACAACTCGACGTTGAAGCTTCTTTGACGGCGTCTTCGATACAACCCAGGAGGAGTTCGCCGCACTTAGGCCATTGCTTATCTGTGTACTCAGATATCGTGGTGTAAACGCAGTCATTGGCGGTCCCAGTAATAGCCGGCAAGGAGCCCATTTTGACGAGTTGAGGGTCTCCGATACCTTGAAGGGGGCCAAAGAGTTGACACTCAAATTTGAACTGGATGGCGTGGAATCCGTCTCCAGGGGGTCGATAGGGGGGTTTCATGAGGATGTGCCACAGAGCTGATTCCATGAGATGCATCTGCACATAGTGGGGTGAGATCAAGACTTCGCGTATCCTTGAGATAAGATGTCTCGCAGACCTTCCTGTGGTGATGTAGGTATGGAGAGAAGCAGCAATCTCATTCGGTGTGCCCCTGGGTGAGCGGGCTGGGTATTCTCTATCCCAGTAGCTGCAGAGGAGTTGGAGAGCAACGGGCAGTTCAATGCCCCGTGCCGACTCGGACCATGTTGCCGGACGTTTCGATATACCAGGGCCGAGCTTATCAAGCAAGCATCGTGGTGCTTCAGGTCCATTGAGGATCAATATGAGTTGGCAAACAGGTCCATCGAACAATTTCTTGATTTGCTCAGTCGAGTCCGGATTCGAGTCACAATAGAAAGCCCACAGCTCATCCCACAACATCAACGTGAACTCAGACAACAGTCGATCCAATATCCTATCAATGTTGACACGAAACTTTTGCTCGGGGAGATAATAATGGGTGAGAAGTTCGTTATTCAACCCATCGGCAAGGGCAGTAGCGAAAGCTGCAACGAGAGCGCCAGCGATGAGTGGCGGTACCAAGACCTCGGCATTGTTCGGTGACTGAGCAGTTCTCGGCCGTCGACTTGGCAGCGGTGGCTTTATGATGCTCAAAATAGAAGCATCGACAATATGATCGTGTTCGTGCGTGGTGGATAACACGGGGGGATGTGGTGGGGGCATTGTCTTGTTGCAGTCATGTCATAGTCATAGTCAAGGAAGTGTTTTAACTCAAAATTTACGGTTAAACCGCAAGAGTCTCATGTTGAAGATTCCATGGCAGAGGGAGAACGGAATGGATTTGCTGGTATTTTGGGCATATTATTTTCTGGGCGGAGCTGAGGGAAGTTTTTGATGGTGAGGAGCGACGATGCGTTGCGTGGCATTGCGTGGCCCCATGAGTAATTGGATTAGTCGGCTCTTACGCCGCCACCCAAAGCCAAAGCAAAGATCCATTGAGGGGGACTTGTTTGAAGACGGAGAATATTTTTTAAATTAATCCATTGAGTGACAATCCTCTTACGAATATGAATCCTCCTTTAAAATGGTTGATTATTCCGTGACGAAGCTCCCTTTTCTGTTCGTATTCCGTATAAGTCTCGTCGCTTGGACTCAAATTGAGCGTCGAGGCCGCGTAATGGTTCTGTATGGGGTCATCAGATCCCCCTCATCCCCTCAAGTGATGGACAATTAATTTGCACAAAATCGCGCTTTCTTTATCTCTGATTGATTTGAAAAGGAGCGGAGTGACGAGGTCCTCGTAAGAATGAATGCGAAGGAGGAAGTGGAAGTTGTTCTCTCTGGCTTTTAAACATCGCCGCTTGATGAGGCAGTGCATCAACCTTGCACGTCCACTCTAAAGCCGCCGATGGGGCATAGCTTATTCAACACTCGAATGACACCAACACTATAAGGAGTGTAGTGATTTCCTATTTATTTTAAGCTTGTACATAGGCTTAAGAATTACGATACACTCATCTGCCCTTGTTGAGATACAGTCCGCTTTTATCCTTGCGGAAACCGCCCATACTGCCCTCACCTCTTTATCTCGAATTGCAAACCTCATTACTATCCTTAGGTATTTCTTTATAGGGAGATGCGCGTATTGTCTCGATTTATTCTTCTGTTCAATATTTGAAACCGCCAGTGGCATTACTTCTGGTCAAAGGCAATGTCCCTCGTGTTTATGTTAGGCTTTTTTCTCAAATCATGGCGTTTATTGAAGTTTGACTTACAGACTGGATATTTCTACTCCTGGTAACAGGTTGATTTGTCTGGTTGTGATGCTGTGTCTTCTTCTTCGTTGTCCATGCGGCGGCACGGCAGTTGACTCGATAGAAGAGTTTGGCCATGGTGCGAGATTCGGATGAGGTGTCCAGAAGTGGTTGGAACGTCGCGCCCATCTCGACGAAGGTCTCGTATGGCTTTTCTTCTTTGTGAGGGGTTCGTGGTCTCCCCAAGGCCTTTCATACATTGGTTCTAACCAGGGCTGCACGCTGCACTATATGGAACGCGTCTGGTAGACCATCTAGCCGGGAATATGCTGATATATTTGTAGTTAGCCAGAGTCTTATCGCAGACTGGTAATGTGCTGGTAGCCATCACTCACAGCTCTCCAGTCGTATATATCTGCTGCTTGATTATTTTATAATACTGAAAGGTTTGCTTTGAGGTATTGATGTGGAACTCAAGCTAAAGCAATAGGTCTTGAGGAAACGAAGATTATATAACACGAAATACTGTATATATAACAAATAGACAAGAATCCCACGCCCTTGGAATGAACTCGAAGGTCTTGATTGCTGGGTATGAATTATTGGGGCGGATTTGGTAACTTGCGGGAACAAACATCAGTCTCTAGGTCTTTTCTTTTCTGTCACTCAACAATCTACCAGCTTTAACGTTGGGAGAATGAACTCTCAGTGTATTTTGCTGAAGAGCCTTCCCTAACCGATTTATTGAGATCTGGATGTCTATCGTACCGAGTTCGAGACATTCTGAAGCACCCAGTGGTTCTCTTGACGTTACGAAGTCTCGAGCAGCACCCAACGATGCTGGATTGCAGAAGATGAGAGATCTGTCTTAACTCTGTCTTTTATGGGGCAGTGCACGCGGTATATATAAGGGTTAGTTCTTACCCAAACTACAGATTCTTCAAAGTTATTACTCACTCAAGAATCTCCCAGTGGGGTGTCCGCGAGGGAAGGGAGGCAGTCCGCGAAAGCGGCCGATAGAGAGTTGCAGGGTAAGATGTTGAGTAGAGGGGAGACTTACACAAAGGGGATCGGATGGCTTGGCTTTGAGAACGCCAAAGAACTTCAGGATAACCGAGATGAAGGTGATGGTGATGCAAAGCACCGGCTTGATGACGAGAGCATCGGCGGATTCGAGTTCCACGGCCATAGCCGTGAATGCTCGCCCTTTAACTGTCGCCCGCGCTCGTCACTGTAGAGACAGAAGGGAACCCTTTCTCCAGACGTTCTGTCAACTAGCGCTTTCTCAACAACATCTAAGGCGCCATGTATGCACAAAGAATTTATGAAGCGACTCTACTCGCCATCGATTGAATCTGCATAGTCTAGAGGGATATATAGGGTATCGGAGAGTCGAACGGCTGTAGCTACCTATAGACCAAGACAGTAATACCTCGCTAACTATGACGAGATCACGTATCTGATTAGCTAGACATAGCCAGCGTTGTTGCTGGTTGTGTCGGACCAACCTCCTAGATGACGGGGCTCCTGAAAAGGATACGACAACCCGAGTCTCATTAAAAGTCTCTGGATGGCAGAAGACGATCGGATAGTTATCCATCATCTCATTGAGAGGACGGCACACGCTGTAATAATAAATGTTAGTTCTCAATCTGATATATATCAGGTGCCATGAGTTACTCGACAATCTGCCAACTTGTGTGCTGAGAACGCATGCATTGATATGCGTCGTTCCCATAGTGAAACTGAAGACGTCTCTCTGCAAGAGAAGAGTCGAGGTCTGCTACAGTGTTAGAGTCCTACTTCCACAATGTATATTGCTGGCTTACCAAGTCGTGCAAGAGATGATGGGATGTTTTGCTTAACAGTGACTGAGATGGGTCCAACCTGGCTGATATCCAGGAACTGAGATGTGGGATTTGGGTTTCCATAAATGATCTGTCTAGAGTCAGTATGATATTGCTGGAGACAAGAATTGGCATCGGGCTCTCACCGGAACTTCGAAAGCCTCTGGCTTCTTGGGCAGTCGAAGGTCGCGTCGAAGGGCATCGGCGATAAAGCGTGAGTGGTCGAGAACCCGGAGCCCATTGTCCAGGGGCTCCGGAGTTCGTCGACGGGCTTTGAATAGTTTCATCCCTCTTAAATTCCAAAACTCACTCGAGTCCTGGAACAGTTCCGGAAGGGAGCCTGCGGCATCAGCGAATTGAATGACTTCGGTTTTGATCCCGGGTCCATCACTCCCAGGATCTGTCGCGAACATGATCTTGCTGAAAATAATGTAAAATATAATATGGTGATATACAGATAGTGGAGGACATTGTCTCGACAGAACCCCCTGGTTATGGTGCGGTGTGCTGAAGGATCCATGGGAGTCCAGGGACCAGAGTCGTGGGATTGTTCCGCGTATAGTCGAACAGCAATGGATACCAGAATTTTCTTCTGAGTTATAGCTTGTTGGCTTGATTGACTACCATCAGATGGATCATCTCCAGTTTGGTGGCCTGTAGACTCCTGGCCAGGGTCTATCTAACACCGGGCTATCATTTTGAGAAATGCGTTTTCTGAACGTATCCACCCATGAGTACCTGTGGAACCTTTTTTTTTTTTCCATTTTCGGAAGACTACTTTGCCTCGAATTCGTAATGAAAGTTCGTATATATAGTAATGCTGCTCATGGGGGTCATCATCACTTGATGGTTCGCCTTTCTGGTTCGCTTTTTCAAAACCTCAAAACTCGCGAGTAATTTGCTAAGGAACCTTGATTGTCTTCTGATAGAGAGGATTTGGCTGGCCTCGGTGTCACATTTCTATACAATGCCGCCCCCTTGGTGGTCTCTTAGTATGCGCCGTGCCTCGCAGGATATTCGAGGGGGTGGTATGTTTCTTCCGGGCGACAAACTAGACGCCTCCCATTCCAGCGATTTTCAGATAATTCTATTCTCCGGGTAACTGAGTGTGGCGTTGCCGATATTATGCTTGAAGTCTGAGGAAGTATTGGCAAGTTATTTAGTAGTTCGGTGGCAATTTGCTTGCCCTTCGGATGAGTTGATTGGGGAAAAGAAAATGTCCAGCCCTCTTCTCTTCTCCACAGGAGCCGCTACCACTTGTATGTTGTTACAGTGATTGAATGGCTTCATGACGAGATGTGCCAGTACATAGTGGCCATCTGTTATTTGTGGATTAGCTCAAACTGATCAAGTTCAAAGTAGAGACTTGAAACATCGCTCGCCAGGATGAAAGCTAAAAGAACGAATGTCATAATAAACATTTTGTGCTTTGTTAATATATGTGAGGCTCTTGGATACTCGTCTGTGACCAGAGTTTCTCCGTTTGAAGATGGGTTCTCAACCGCCTTGGGGATTCCCAGACCAGCAAGCTTTCCGGCCACGCTTATAGACCTTTAGTACCCCTACATTTCTTCTGAAATAAAGTTCAAGTATTGGGAAAGTGTGGTGTGGTCTTGTGAGTGAAAAAGTGACAGTTGATCAATCTGCGTTTGCTAAGCCTCAAACTCAACAGTGTTGTTGGTTAACTTCTCTTAATGACGGTCAGAACAATGCGCAAATATAACACTGATTTACTTACTGTTTGAGGGCTATTTCAATGTCCTTCAGTGATCAAGAATAACAATATGTGAGTTGGGGGTTTGTCGTATGGGGGCTACTTCTATTGACACTGCAGTGCCAGTGTGATTCACCTCACGATCATAGTATCTTTTTCCACCTCCAAGGTATTTAAACTTCACTTCCCCTTCATGATCTTGCATTCATGCACGAGAGCCTATATCTCGACCGTCGGTCAGTTTTCTTCCCTTTCCATCCTTTTCTACCTTTGTCAGGAACTAACCTTAGTCTAGACTCGTGATACAACAGCTTCGGTAGCTGCCAGAAAATATCAAGATGGCAGAGGCCAAGTTTGCTCAGCAAATTGCAGGAATGGTCGCCGAACTCGGCGACCTTCGAAAAAGCGACGCGGCACAAAAGAACGAGATAGAGAACCTCCGAGCCCAGAATGACTTCCACGCCAACGAAGCTCAGATGCTCAGAGACCTTCGCATTCTCTACGAAGCCAAGCTCGAACAGAAAGACTCTGAGATTTTGGGCCTGCATGTCCTCCTCGACAAGGTGAAGGTCGATGCGGGTATTTATAGGGACGATCTGAGCGAGTTGCGTAAGCAGCTCAAGGACTTGCAAGCCAAATATGAGTCAAGTCAGAAACAATTTTGCGCTTCTGAGGCAAAGCTTACCCGTCGCAATCTCCAAGTTGCCAATCTGATTTGCGCCCTGCGTCGCAAAGTTTCTGCCAACCGTATATCCGTCGTTGCTCTTCGCGCTGCGTACAAGATTATTCCAAGCTTGGAGCAGAAAGCTCAGTGTAAGAGGATTCTGTCTATGGCGAGAAAGCTTCCGCACAAGACTGGTATTGAGAGCGAGATGAAGGAGTGTCTGGGGGACGCTGGGCTCTTGATCTCGTTTGACAAGAATGGCGCCATGGTGTTGAGACAATCTGTTGAGGTTGTCAAAGTACCCGTTGATGGTTCTAAAGAGCTTGATGAAAGCATCATCATCGTCGAGAAGGATGCTGACAACAATGGCGACTACGCTTGCGATCAGAATTCTCAACAGAATGTCAAGAAAGATGAAGACGTTCAGATGTCTGTTTAAACGTCAGCAAACTATGCCACATTCACTATCATGTGCTTGCTACGGCTGGTCTGGGAGCATTTGGACGTCAGCACAAACCAGCTTTTGCTCACACATGCTCAATTATTTGAGTTGAGGAATTGGAGTTTTTACCAGAATGAGTCATGCTTGTTCGTTTGGAACATGATTTGGGTTCACCTGTATCAAGTTGCTACACAAAACATTGAGTTTTGATTGGTGTTTCTTTGCTAGCTTATTGCTTAACTACACTCTCAATAAACTAGCTGCCCAAACATTAGCAAGGTGAGAGTGACTGTGTTATGTTTGGACAATCTTGAGTTCCTCATGATATATACTCTTCTCTTGAGTCATTGCTGAAATACATGTCGATAATAGACTTGTTATATGATACCCTGCATAAACATCCCTGTCGATGTCTTGCATCCGACCGTAATAACTTCAAGGTACCCTTGCTCCGGAACGCGCGCTCTTTGAACTTACATGAATATGCGATTCTCAGTCCTCAAGTATTAAATTTCACGACTAGTTTCCACTTTAGTTTTCCAAACGGTCAAGACGGGCAACGCAAACGTCCGCTCTGTTCCATCGTAAATCTCAAACAAGACTGTTTTCTCATCTACATGTTGGCGTCGGTGCATGCTAGAAACAGTATATTCTTCACTAGAACACCAAATACTGCACTGTTCGATACGCAACTGACATCCTAGTGAGCCTTGTATACTTGAATCAACTCCATGCAGCTTCCCGTTGCCAAAAATAAGCAAACACAGTATATAACAATATCCTCAAAAGCAGGCAGCCGTTTTCATCTCAAAACTCCCCCGCCCCCAGTTAGCAAGCTTACAGGTGGGAAATGTCTCTAGTGTTGAGTTGTCTCTAATCTCCTTGCTTTTCCTGTTGCTATCCGACGCTATGTCCGTTTACCCCAGCAACCTTGGAGTTTCAGTCTCTGACTGCAAGCCACCGCGATCACCAAATTCTCCCAACATGGCCGTAAATTATTGCAGAATGATGTCGTTTTATTTCAGTTCTTCCTCAAGCCTGTTGGCACATATCTCTATGCTGTTCGGTAAAGCACTACTAGGCATTAAGAGAGGATAAGAACGTGAATATCATTCTCCTTCCTTTCGGGTGCATACATATGCTCATATCGGCATCATGCATAAGTCTTCCGAATTTGAGCTGGAATCTGCGTCTGCATGAGTATTCCAAGTAACTCATCTGTGATCATCCGACAAGTCTACTGTGGGGAGTAAGTGCAAAGGCGCCACTGTTTAGTCAATCTCGAAGAAGGCATACTGCTCCCCCATTCATACTCATTCAATAGCTCGTTCTTATTAATTTCTTAAGCCGGTATTCTAATATTCGTCAATGAGATCGTGAGATATTGGTTCAAACTTATTAATATCCTCTTCAGAACAAGATGGTCGAGCCTTCACCCACCCTTCAGCTTGCGCGGTTCGAGAATCTCCCCCCAGAACTGACAGACATAATTATCGACCAACTACCTGCAGACTCTCTTGCTTCTATTCGTCTCTACTAGCCTCACGTCGATGGAGTAATTCCGTCTCGTTTGTTCAGAGCCATTCGGGTCACATTCGCTCAATGGGATATTGAGAGACTGCAGGCGGTTTCGTCGACTTATCCTTATCATGTACAAGAACTTGTCTTCACCACTGCCCAAAGTCGTTACACGCACAGGGACAGATGGGGACAAGTCTTTACAGAAGACAATTATCAGGAATACGCCAAAAGCTATCGACACAAGTTCCTGGCTTGTGTCGATTCTCTGCCCAACCTGCACACTTTTACGTCTGAGTTGGGTCCTATCAGTAGAACTGCCACAAAGGAGCATATTGACTGGCTCGTGTATGCCATACCCCCTGCTCTATGCCGGTCTTCGTCTCGGATCACAACTCTCAGGTGTCAGGACCCTCTGAACTATATGCATTGGTTCTTGTCCAGGGTCAAGGCAACTTGGGATCCTCCTGAAGAGATGATCAAGTTGATACCGAAAATATGTACCTGCAGGCAAAGCAGCCCCCAACTTTCAAGGCTGAGCTCGTGTTCCGCTCCGCCGTTTGGCAGAGAGACCGATTGGATATATCCCAAGATCCCCTGGGGGTGGAGGACTGCCTTGCGAGGACTCACAACACTTGGTCTGCAGACTGACGCCGCTGGCGGCAAATGGAATTGCTATGAACAATTCGGTGATAGACTTGTTTACTTTCTCGAGGGAGCTGTCAACCTGCAGCAGTTGTCAGTCAGATGGAGACGAACAGATCAGATTGGATCTGCCGGTCGTCCTCTTATTCACTCCGGTTGGCAGTTGGAGCATATCTTCCGCGGAAGATGGAAAAATCTCAAAACCCTCAAGCTCACCTTCATCCAATTCACATTCTCCGCCAACCCTTTTAAGACCTTCATTCGACAGCATTCGACAACTCTACGACACATCATGCGTCACAACTGGTGCAGCGACCCGGAAGTTATTCGCATCATCAAGTTTGCTGCTTCGTGCCCTGATGTTCATCTTCATCGGTTCGTTGTCTTTCCAGCGCATGAGAGCCACCCAAGGGTTGAACTCCTGGATGAGTCATATCCAGGTGGGGAGCAAGCAGTTGTCGAGAAACCTCGGATTGTTCCAGAGAGCGCGGTACTCAGCTACATCAACAGCAGGAACCCTCAGCACCTCGATCCGTTTGCCGCGTGGAAACCCTTCGAGTATGAGTATTGGGGAACTGTCGAGCAGAAGGCTGAGTCGACCTCAATAAAATGGCCTCAGAATAATGGGATGGCCGTGAAGTGCAAGCTGTGTGGCGACTAGTCTGGGAATAGCTTATAGTCCATGTGGCAGAGTTCATCTTGAGAGATCGCTTGGGGTCCCTCGGAGTCGCCAATTACATGGAGCTGGAAAACAAAGGGATAGATTAGTGAGTTGAACTGATGTTCATGGTTTCAGTATAGAAAAGCGACACATTTTGATTCGAATAGCATATTACGCTATTGGCATAACTCTAACCGCATCCAACGCCAATTTCTAATCGTGATTTCATGGCCATTTGGCCTTGCATTTATATAAGTTGATAGAAGCGGAGTGCCTCGTGAGTATCGTGTCGGGTCATTACTGGCCCTGTGCAACTCCAGCACTAGCAGCACTCTCTCCAACCTTGAGTTCCTCCTCGGGTACACCAACACCGACACTGGCTACACTAGCAATACTCTGTGTCGTCATGCCTCGTTCCCGCTCACCGCCTGGTCTAATGGGCAATCCCTCTCGAGGGCCTGCTATGCTGGCTCCTCCAGCAGGGGTAACGCTCACGCTGGCACTGGTGCTTGCGCTTCCACTTCTGGGACGGCTTGCATCACTGGCTCTTCGTTGGCGGACCTGTCTCTCTAATTCCCTAATCTTTCGCTTGAGAGCATCATTCTCTTTCTTGGCAGTCTCAAGTTCGTTTCTATAATATGCTGTCTCCTCGTAACGCATGGTCGCAGGCATCAACCCGGGGCTTAATTGCTCGCTCATACTTCCAGGGGTTGCACCAACTGAACTCGGTGGGATCGACGTAGGCGGGGGGATTCTCTGGTGCTGGAAATAGTTGGATGGATCGAGACTGCTGTGCTGCGGTCCGGGAGAACTTGTTAGGCTCCTTCGAGAGGCGGTACTATCCTGCCGTGAGAGAGGGGTAGCCTGGGATGGACGAGGGGCATGGATTCGTGCTTCGTAGGACGACGACAACTGTTGGTTTCCAAAGCTCTGAGACGTGGTCGAGGATGTCCGATGATGTCGAGCCGTGGGGATTGAGAAACCTGAGCCTGAAAGGAGAGACTGTTCGGGTACATCGTGGGTTGAGTTGCCGGCAGAGGTAGAGGAGGTGTTGGAAACGACGGAAGCGTTCTGGGCAGCTCGAAGGAGGGAAAGTTCACGGGTCAGTCGGTTAACCTAAAGATATTAGATATAGCTGCCAAATCATGGTTTACATCTTGTACTCACAACAGCCTCTTGCTCTTTTTCAAGCTGGAGATGAAGCTCGGCGGCGGTCAACGGACGAGGATGTCTTATCGGTCCAGGTCCCGGACCAACACCAGGCTCAGCTAGAACATTTGACGGAGCATTATAAGTCGGTTGCGAAGCATTTAACACGGGCGATGGAAGAGAAGGCGAATGCGACGGGTTCACCGTATTCTGGTTGGAAGGGAGGATGTTGAGAGATGGCGAAGCTGGGGCTGGCGGAGTAGCCATCTGTGTTGAAGACTGGCGACGAGAGGCCGCAAGAGTATGTGGAGAGGGAGGGACTGAGTTTAAATCCGGCATGCCGGTCATGAGGTCCTTATTTGGTATGGAAAGTTGGTCGTTTTCTAAGCTTTGTGAAAAGGGAAAAGTAACGCGTAGTTGAATGTTGAGGTGAAGCTTTGGCGCGTTGTTCATGACCGTCACCGTCACCGACGGGGCGAGCGGGGTCCAGCGGGCCGGTCACTAGCATGGGCCCATTTGCACCGGTGTGGTGGACGCTAAAACACTGGATGCTCCCTAGAAGTCCCTGAAAGATTCCGACTGGCTGGGATGGCGGGGTCTTGAAACTGTGGTATGAAGGATGTTTGATAAATGGATGCTGCCTACCCTGGAGAAGATAACAACACTTTCATTTCAGGCTCCATCGCTTTCTACTAAACTCGTGGTAGCAGTTAGCTGGGTTACTAAACCAGTTTTATTAGATCGAACAATTGCCCATCGTGTTGTTGGTGACGAGTTGGCTAAGCACTGTTTTTTAAATCGCGATCCAGTGAGGCTAGCAGCATTAATACCTACAAGCTTGAAGCTTGATCTAACAAGCTTCCATGAGTATTCCAACCATGAGTTAACAGACGCAGTGAAATGAACAATTAAAGAATATCTGAACTGATGGATGATTATCAACCTCTGAGTGATTCTTGTCAATATCTGTCACCATTAACCAACCTCATAGTAAGCGTAATAAACCCCAGAAACTCCCAATACAAGAAAGTGGGGGAGCTTCAAATCACCAACAAGCTCTGACAGCTTCACACTTACTGAGAGCAACTTATCAGCAGCTTCTCACTGTTCCTGAATCAAAACCACAAACGGCCCGTATCTCGACCCTCTTTCTGTAAATCATTGGCTCGCATCGTTACTCCATCAAAAAAACACCATCTCGATCTCCCTCCTGCCCATGATGTAATCCCCCTATGACGGCATAGAATCCCACCTTCGACGTCAACTTGCAATCATTGTTTTCCACTTTTCGTACTTAACCTCTCACTCTTCCTCATCTGAGACCATTCCACATTCAAATAACTCGTCAACAATAACTCAATCCCGAACCTCTTCACATACCAAAAATCACAGCAATCATGCCTGAGGGACGTCAATCACCAGCTCCTGAGCAGCAGAGCGGTCGCCAGCAGCAGGATCCTCCTGCCTCTGGCCACGGCATCAACAAGACTGATGACAAGGACCCTAAGAGACAGCTTGAGGCAAGAAAACCGCCAATTCCACTTTTCGAACATGATGCTAACTATCTGCAGAACCTCTCATCGAACCCCAAGGGTCTCACCGACGATATTGTGGATGAGAAGTTCTCCAAGACTGAGAAGAAATAGTCAGTCAAGCCAAAAGAATAAGCTCGATGGAACAGTTCTAACATGGGAATAGAACAAACGATACCACGATGGTTATGAATTGATGGACAAGGGAATGCATAGAACTAATAAACCACGACTGAAATAGTCGCTTCATTTAAATTACTGTCCTCATCTCCATTGAACATGTCTGTGAATGCATAATGCCTATAAGTTACTTGTGAATGAAGTAGAGACATCGTTAGACGTTTTATGAATCACAAAATTGCCACTTTCACATGTCATCGTTCTTAAGCTGTAGCCTTTCATCCTACTTGCGAGATTACTACTCACGATCAAAAGTAAACGGTAGAATTCATCTCGAATTTATTGATTGTGACATGCGTAAAAGTCGTAACAATTCGTTAACTAACAGGCTGCAACAAGCCGTCATATGAATGTCTCATCAGAGCTCAAGAAATACCCCATTGCTTCCTCATTACTTCACATCTCCCTAATTTTGATAGCTTAGTGCTTCTCACCACCCTCAGGAGCGCTCACATTGGGAACGTTGTCGGCAGAGGCGGCAGGAACTGATGTTCCAAGACTGCCCTGACCAGCCTCGGGAGCGGCGGCACCGGAAGTCTTCTCCTTGCCGAAGACCTTCTCGAGACCCGCAGCCTTGTAGGCGCTTCCACCGTGCTCCTCCTTCTTGAGATCAGCAAGGCGACGAGCCTCAGCGTGCACCTCCTGGACTTGTCGGCTGCCCTCAGTGTAGAACTCAGCAATCTTCTTGCCGGTGGGTGTGTTGGAGGCCTTCTCAAAGTAAGAGCTGAGGCCGAGCCAGAGGCTGTTGGCGCGCTGGGTGATACCATAGCTCTCATCGGTGGCCTTGGCTCGGTCGGTAGCGTGGTACTTCTGGTCGAGACCCTGGAGGGTAGAGAAGAAGCGGTTGGAGACGTTGTGAGCGGCATCGAGGTCGAGGGCACGCTGGATGGCGGCGTCGCCTACGACATAACCGTGGGCAAGGTACTCGGCCAGGATGCGGGCGCGGGGCTTCTCCTCTTGGGTGATCTCATCGGAGTCGCGGTCAGCGTTCTTGGTGGCTTGGTGGACATCGTCTTCGCCGTCAGCACCAGCGCTGGTGACCTCAAGATGGTTGGGACCGAGTTGGGTGTTGTTGAGGAGAAGAGCAGTCTTCTTGGCAGTCTCCTTCTCGAAGATAACCTCAGCGGACTTGGTCTCGCCCTCTTGGGTGACCTTGAGATCAGCGATCTTACCACTGGAGGACGTTAGCTGTGAAGCACGGAAAGTGAAAGCGAGGAGAGCTTACCAGAAGCTGAAGAAGTCCTTGATCTCGCTGTCGCTAGTGGACGAAGCGATGTTCTTGACGTTGATAGTAGAGTTGGCAGACATGATGAATGTGTGGTTGTGTTTGTGGTTTGGTGTGGTTAATGAGGGGTATCAAGCTTGTTGTGTTGAAGTTTGAAGGTAGCAAAGGGCAGGCAAGTGTTTTTAAAGAGTCAAGGCAAATAGAAAGCAGGAATGACGACACCGTGATAGATCGTGACGAGGCAACGAGGCAGTGGCAGTGTGAGCAGGAGCTTGTGTGGAGGCGGCTCCCTCATTCCCTCGAGCTCAGACGCTTAACTCACTGCGGGGCAGAGAGCGACGTCATCGACGGGTGCCATGTGTGATGGCATGATATACTTGATGAAAGTTACATGACCTCGCGCACAGTATACGTGGTGTGATAAGTACCTTCTAGCAGCACCATGAATTGTTGAGATTGATCTCTTGGAGAACAAACTAGAAGCTGTCACTCTGGCTGCCCTTGCGTCGTCTCTTGTGGCGAGGTGATGAGACAATCTCAGATCAAATCAAGTTGCAGAAGAATGATTTTTTGCTTTCCTTCTTTCACATGTGAAGGACCCCTTTTCTTTTTTGATCTGATCGTCTTTGCATATGATCATCGAGGCTTATTCGGTACCCTCTCAACATTATGCTCATAAGCCATACAAACAACACCACGAGATTTACTGTTTACGCGTCTTGATACGCGTAATGGAGAATTAAATATCACCGCCTTCATTCTGAGGCGTTTACCTCTGTTCCTGCTTTTGGAACTTTAACTGTGTCATTCGGAGACGCTTCATGTGTTGGGTTTAGCATCATTAATCTGGGCGCTAATACTCTCTCTGTACAGTAGTTCCCGTTCGGTGGGTTAGGTACCGTGAGTTCCTAATTTAATCTCCCGTTCGCGTATCAAAATGCTCAAGACAACTAACGTGTGATAAGGTATGAATATACATGTTTATCGACTCATCATACTCAATTAAAGTCAACTTACACCATTGAATTCAATTGCCATTGCTAAATCATCTGCTCTTCAACACCGCCTTTGCTGGATTTTAACGCCAACTCATCCGTCTCCATCCCATCGCATCAACCTCTGTCCATCAAGCGCTGATGGATTTTTCCAATGCGACTTCAATTTCCGTCCTCATCAATTTGCAACAACCCTCGTTTATGAACCTCGAACTAGTGGTTCGTTCGCAGGGGAAAAGCTCATGCTATTATCATGCCATGATATCTGTTCCACTATGGCCAGCATTGCCTGGCATCAGATATATCAACAACCTCATTATCACGCGACAACCCCTTCTGTGATGCCTCGCCACTCTCTTTTAAACGCTTCCTCATATGGCAAAGTTGCTCCTTCAGCCCACTCTCCCGCTTCGTTTAGACAAGCGTTGGGGGTCACACGCCAACTTGGCGATCGCCTCCATTGACAAGGGTCGTCATCATCCTTGCTCAGACGAAAAGACAGACTCGTTCCCATCTTCTCAAGTGAGCAGAACGAAGGGGCAGTCTCAAAGAACCAGAGGAAACTTGATGTTCCCGTGGCGCTCACTAAACAGCCAACGTTGCAACCAATGTTGCAGTCATATTCGTATATCTCACTGCATTAAAGTATTGATTACGGGCTTTCCATGGCGCACCTCTCGTATTTAAACGGGATCCTTCACGGGCTTCCAGGCGGTCAAAGCGGTTCTCGCCTCCCCCAGACCGCATTGATTGAAATTTGCAACCCTAGCCCAGTCACTATCAACTTCTAACCTTGGAAGGAGCGCACTATAGGCAATTGTTTCGCGCCAAGGAAACAAACTAAAAAGAACCCATATTCCCAGTTTTGTTGGCCTCACCTCTGTTGGTGATTTCACCGCTCTCGTGCTCACCTTTTCACTCTTTCAAATATCGGCTGTTCTCGCTCAGAGGAGGAGAGTAGTATACAGATATTGTTTAAAAGTTTTTGATTTCGCAGGTTGGGAAAAAGTAAAGGTAATTCAATTCCTGGAGTCTCTTTGACAACTCAGCGCTAACAAAGAGATCAGAACCCTGCCATGCCTCTCGTTCCCAGCTCCGCACCGCTGCCCAGCAGCATGACCACTATTGCTTACTTGCGCGAGCAAGAAATACTCAACATCGTTTACATCGGCCTTCTCGTCATTGAAGTTCTAATGGTTTTGGGCGTCATCACTATGGCTCTTGTTAAGCGAGTTAAAGTCAACCACCAACTCAAAACGATACGATCAGCAACCACTTCCGCAAAATACGCTCCCTACCACTTTGCGCATGCCGACACGGAAAAGACGATGTTATGACGACCCGAAAGATGACGAGAAAAGAGATACGAAGAAGAACGATAACCTCAGATTGGCGCTTGACCACTACCGCGCACGATTACTACGATCATTGCATTTTATTCCTTTGTTCACTAACAACAACACAACGTCTACGCACTTTTTTCTAGCAGGACAAAGAGGAGAGGAGGCTGTTCATTATCTCGCATGGTTTCAAGGCGTAATGCGTTTGTTCACTTGCAGCGGAAGATATGATTTACGACTATATATACCCAGACTTTCTAGTTAATGCCATTTACGTTTTACGTTGCCTCTTTATCGCCAAAACTGAAATATTGTAAAGCTGATACTAACGTCACTTTCCAAACTAGAAACCTCACTAGCTGCAGTGTTGCACTCATGGATCACGAAACAACCATCGTCATGGACTCCCCTAACATTTTTGGCGACCGACCTAAAAGTCGGTGCCCACACTGCAACTTCTACCCCAAACATGGCGAGAATAAGGTATGCGAAGCCTGTGAGTCCCAGATGGGAAACGACGAAATCGAAGCCTTTCTCAGAGGCGCAGAACGGAACTGGTGTGTGTACCATCTAAATCGAGAAGGATTTCTCCCTGGCCGCGCCGCTCTCGAAGATACTATGCGCGCTCGATTAATTCAGGAGCAACGCTGCGTACGCCTTTGTTGCGCCGAACCGAAGTTACCCATCTATGTGCATTGCGAAGAGTGTCGCGAGATGTCGCTCTGCAAAGGCGTTCCCATCGCGGTTGCGATCAAAAAGATTTATGAGCTTACACATTATGATACTTTTCCAGACTACGATGACGACTCTTTCGCAGTAAGAGTTGCTAGAGCTGAGGCGAGTATCTACGAAGAGGATTGGAGCTGGGATTGCTCGTTGGCAAAGTTTGTGCATCCCGACCGTAAGAGCTTCAAAGGAAATACCAGCCCCGAGGAGATGGTCTGATACATGCTTAGATCCAAGCCAAAAGACAACTATTACTCATTTCTAGTTATTGTACGGGCTGATCCCGTGGATGTTCCAGGCTCAAGTGAGTCGTGGAGTTTTGAGGTGAACGTTCGATCATCCAACTCAGGAGGCATGAACCCACCTGCCAGCATTCTGGACCATTCATACACTTTTAGAAAGTGTCATGTCCGAGGCATTTTATTAGAAAGAAAAAAATCACTGCTCGTTCATGAACTTCTTGCTATCGTTCGGCTCACTATAGACACACTCATCAAGTTGTCAATCTCAGTTCTTGTTGAAACCATAACCATCTACATACCTGAAGTAACTTTCCGATGAATCTCCCGCTTTTTGATGTTGAATGGTTTGAGTGAACTGTCAGATATGATGTGATTATCACCAGTGCACTATCTGTCAACTCCAGCCCCTATCTTTGTATCGAGTTTTACCGTCGCTGCGTAATCCAGACAGAACCTTGCTTGGTGTGGGAGGGGAGGTTTTGATAGAAATACGGGAGCTGATATTTCCTAAATGGTGTTCATTACTCTTGTATTTAATGGCGAAATCTATCACTGGTGTGCCGGGTTTCAATTGTCTAGTTCTATTACCAATGTTCAGGGGCTGTATTGTTCAACAGCGCCACGGTGTCTCTCGTTATATGTACTTATAGTAAGAGTATATACAGTAATGTTTGAAGTCATTCAACATTAATTTTTCAGACTCTCGTGAAACAAACAGGAAGTGTTGCGTCGATTAGTTGGACATTGGCCCTGTTCTCTATCCTAAGTTGGGACCTATGCATTCACATTGCAGTGTCGATGCGCAATTTTAGGCACAGTGTTCTTCCCAAAAAGTCGAGAAACAGTATCACTGGGTTTACTTAGAGTAGCTGTAAGTAATGAGCACAGGCTTGCTTATGCGGCTGGGCCGATATGAACCCCGTTAAGTTTTCCGCGGAAAAGAATTGCTGTGTTCACCACACATTCTGCAGAGGATCCCATAAACTTGGGAAAAGCTGATCGAGGTAAGAAGACTCCGCCATGGCAAAGCTGGAAAAGTTCAAAACCTCTTCAGCACTTGGGTCTTCAGGCGGTGTCATGGCGCGTAGCTTCTCAACAACGTCCGCATGTTGGGCCAAGCAGATATCACCCAAATCCCAAGCATGCTTCTCTTTGTGTTCACGAAGAGCCGACAATAAGTCCGAGGCTATCTTCAATGAGCTGCTTTGAACCAATCCGGCTGTTGAGTTTTCTGTCTCTAGTGCGCATCGGAGAAGGAAGCTAACGGTTGTCGAAAATGCAAAAGCGCTGCTTGGCAACCAGCAATCAGCCAAATGTTCGGGCTGTAATTCCTGAGTTAAGATGAGAATGTCCTCTGCAGTTCTCCGAGCTTGCATATAACGGTTTAGCAGGCGACTATCCCCTGTATCACGAACTCGCTTCTCAGCTTCAAGTTCGATTCTCTGCAATAGGAGTCTGACTGTCAGATATGACAGGCGAAGGTTGGCAGCACCAGGAATTTTTAGGTTGTTTCCACGAATGACAACCCGGCGGATCTCGTCACTTAGAGTCTCTATCCAATTATTCAGTACCAATTCTAGATGTGTCGTATCTGTAGATTCGTCTGAAAGGCTGAATTGATGGACGTGTCTCAAGTGTAAGTCCAGAACCTCGGTCAAGCCAACTAGAGCGATGTACGCTGAAGCATTGAGGGCCTGCTCTGAAGAAGATCCCTCTCCACAAAGGTTTTCGATGAGAGGCTGGGGCACATCGTTTAGAGTCGGAGAGATAAGCGGCGGGGTTCCATGCGAAAGACTCAACCTGTCTACACGTTAGAGCTACAAAGGGGGGTTTTGTGCGTGGCGTTAACGTACCATTTATCGTGAATCAGCAGAGCCCACCATATCTTCATTCTTAGGTTCTTCTCAGACTGCGGTATTTCCCAGGATATTGGGCTGTGGTTGAGACCCAGTGAATGTGCCATAGCGACTGAGGACGCCAACAAAACGCCATTTCCTATCAGAGCAGTCACTTCGCGACCACTGATATTCAGAATCAAGGCTTCTATCGTGGATATTCCAGGAGATCTATGTATCTGAGAATAAGCTGCCTCAGTCGCAAGATTCCAGATGAAGCGCCCGTCAGGACATCGATGACGGGAAAGAATAGGAGAGCTATTCCAGAAGGTTATCGAGTGGGCGTAGAGTCCACTGAGAAGCGCTGGCGATATGGCAGATTTGTTCTCTCTATATTGCTTACGGAAATGTGCTTCGTCAAGAAGAGGAAAGCAAGAATTAGCCTTGTCAAAATAACTGAGCGTTATTAGTAATTGTAGCCCCAATCTGTCAAAGACTTACACGTCGAGAAGATCACTGGTAAAAGGCTCCAATATCTTCTCTATAAGCTGCAATCTTTCCTCTGCGAAACTGAGGTTCGAATCCAACCCAACTGGTCGTTTCTGTACAGCAGTAAACAGCACAGGTCGAGACCTATTGCCTATGGCTGGCCTGATAATCCGTGAACCTTTTGAGGCACTGGGCATGGAAGATAGGTAGTCCGACAAAACCTGGTTATCAGAAGTGACTGCTGGCCCAACTATGTGAAGATTATGTGGTTGCTCGTCGTTTGAGCCTAATGCCAAAGGTGACTCCTCCGATTGAGCGTTTTGTTGGGCCCATTCTGTGCTTCTTGGCACAGTGGGAGAGACGTTGGACACTTGGTGCTCATGAGAGGTGGTGTTTCTCGACGAACTGTTAGGCGCTGAAGTCAAGGCTGATTCTACAACAGAAACTGCCTGCTCGATAGTAGAATTGTCTGAGGCGGATACTGCCGGGGGCCCAGGTGCCAGGCTGATCTGACGGGGACTTCTAGTTGTCGACAGCCTTGCTTGTCTCCGACGCCGAGGAGTTTGAGAACTTGAGCGAGGCTCCGTGGGAAAGATGCAATCCGTGCGGTGTGCCCTGCACATGAGACAGCAGCTGGAAGATGCCTCGGACTGGCAGCGGGACTTGCGTTTTCGGCATGGAATACAGGCCGGCCGAAGATGGGACCTGTACGGTCGTTCATTGGAAGTTCCCTGTTGCATTTTGGTATTTTGTAGCCAAAATGGAAGATGTCGGTGTAAGTTGATGGAGATTACTTTCCGCGGAGTGTGCTGAAGCTGGTGTTGATAAGAGGAGTAACTTCCCCGCGGGAAAGTGGTGACACAGTCCGCGTACAGTGTATGTGACAGTGCTAGTATAAGTCAAGCAGGTTCTAAGGAGAACAACAGGTTTCCAACGAATCAATAGACTTATTATGTGTTTATATTGAAATGAATAGTTATATGAATACATAATTTTGACACTACCACCTACTAACATTAACAGTTTAATAACTATCGATAGCCCGGTCCCCTTTTCATGTCCCCTTATTATCTCCTATCTCGCAGTCGTCGACATGTGCTATCGAAGGTGCTGCTGAGGAAGTATGTGACTCGACATCTCGAGTCATCTCATGAGTAACCAAAATAGCACCATTGCCGTCGGTTTTGTATGGGAAAATTTCTTCCGTGCTATCATTCTTGGTATGTGCACCGCCAATAGCGTGACTCGTCAATCCATATGCGGTGTTGCCTTTTGACTTGCTCTGTAGGTAGCCATCCTTATGGTTCTGGTTGTAGCTTTTGAGCGGGATAGATCCTCCTGTCTTCTTGGAGCCGCTCCATCCATAGTATTTATTCGAACTTCTTCGGCCACTCGAGAGTCCCAAGGCATGGTTGAGCCAGGGGACCTTTTGAATGACCTGGCGAAGACATGGGATTGTGGAACATACGACGAGAGAGGCTAATTCAACTTGGGACCATATCATGGGCTCGGCGAATTCATCTAGACACTGTTAGAAGCGGTGAAGAAATTGTTCCACATGACTTACAAGTAGCATCGGGTCCAATTCGAGTGACAAAAATGATGCGGATAATCGAAGTGACGCAAACCCTTTCGTGGTAAGTTAAGGCTGCAACAGAAGAGAGTGCCAACTTACAATAAACCAAGGGATAACATGGCAATCAAGCCCAGCCTCTTTGCCACAGGAAGATGCAACCTCCACATCGCAGGAATAGGTTGTATAAAGAGGAACAAGTCGGTACACATGTTGAATACAAACTGTTGAGAATTCGTTAATACACGAAGCTCTCGCACATGTTTTTTGGCGACTCACCGTACACCACCAGAGAACACGAAGATCAAGACACTTGGCGTGTGCTGGACGGGGTACTACATAAGCTGCCATAACAGGCCGACATTGAAGGATAACAATGAGCGCTTCCTCTATAGCCTGCATTGCTAGGAAGACAATAAGGCATTTATTAAGGATCCGAAGAACAGGCTGAGGGTTAATTCGAAGATATAGCACGGCGAATGACGATTTTGCACAGCCGATACCAATGCTAAAGGTCGCGGAGCATCCTGTCGTATACTATGAAGAGCGGTTAGCAGAAGGATCAAGATTGGGGCGAAATAACCACTCGCTCTGAGGAATTTCTGAAGATCTTGGTTCGACACTTCATTCATATGCTTCCCGAATCCCACTTTCGCAGCTATTTCATGTCAGTCCGTCCCCTCCATCATATTAAGTTGGGGTGCGCGAAACTTACAGAGAATTGTGCATGTACAGAGTCCTGTCAAAAATGCCTACCGATCCCATGTTAGTGGTGTTGTAAAAGTACGCGAGACATGGTCTCGTCATCTAAGAAATATTACCCATGCTGCTGTAATCAAGTCTGTTAAATTGTCAGTCCTGTCATTGCTGAATTTTTCGAATCGCTCAGGCCTTACAGTCATCTGTACCAATCGTCTTCAGGCTGGATCTGATCCATAAGCGAGCACCAATAAACGCCGTAGTAAGAGAAATGACCGTTATCGATGATGCGAGCAATGCCCCTGACAAGTCATCTCCCGCCATGACGGTTTTGCGATGAGTCTTTTACTTCTTCTTCTTCTTCTTCTTGTCGAAACGACGGTCCTCCCTAGTTGTAATTGCGAGTCTTCTTCAATTGTAGTGGCATTTGGTGGAAGGTTTCAGGATGAAGCGTCTGTTCCTGGAAGCTCAAAGCTGTTCTTCATATATATGAACGCTTTTCACATTGCCAAGGCTGCGCCAAATCCGTCCAAATGAGCGAGAAGCTGGACGCAAGCTCCTCAGAGAGAATGACAGACAGCTGTATTGGGTGGAAGAGCAGTAGTAGTAAACGAGGCGCTAAGCTGCGTCCTCTCACGTCTTGTGATTTCGTGATGGAATGCAGTGACAGAAAGCCGGGGAACAAGGCCATATAAGTCGTATCTCAATCAACCTTTCCGTCTCCGGGTTTGATGTCAGAGACTTCAGAGTCAAATTATATCATTCCAAAGAGCATGGTCCCGCGCCAATGCATTCATATAAGGATCTAGTCATGCCAGTAGCCTGCCGGGGAAGCTATCTATATGAACCGTCGGCGGGAAATGCCTGGGGAGACAAGGGACTGTCCATAGCTGCAACTAACAGGCGGTATAGTATCTGGTCACTGGTCAGGGAGACAAAATAGTGCACGGTAACAAAGACGAGGATGATGCACCTGTTAGTCAAGATCCAAAAGAAGGCGCCGTTATGATGGTGGTTGTTTAAGTTTCAGCCACAAGAGCCCGTTAGTTTTCGTACCAATACGAGCATGCTCAGAACGTCTCTTGTGGTGGCCGTCACCCATGGCTAAATTGGGCTCGGTAGTGACCTATCAATGGAAAGAACCGAATTCTTTTAGTCTAACAAGGTAATTCTTCCACTACGCATTCGGCATGCGAGTCAGGCGCCAGGCTCAGCAACTGACAGCATCACTGAAGGCTGCAACGGCCCCAACGCCGTCGAAGATCATTTCCCCAAACTTCTAAAATACTTATTAGCATTCGGGGAATGTATTTCTATTGTGGACAGTGTCAATCGATGTCCTGTCTATTCAAGACATCCATCCACCCCTACGAGCTTAATATCTTGCGTAAGGAATACCTGTCAGTTTCTGTTATATGGAACTTTAACATAAGGTCACAATACCTAATAAACACAACGTCGAATTCTGTCAACGAAGCTGATGCTGTTTATCACAAAACCAATATAGGGGAGCACTGAGAGGTTGGCCGATCCCAGTGCAGATGCAGCTGAAGACAAGGTTGCTGAGTCTTCACAACTTAGAGACAAGCCACGCCTATCACCAGGAACTAGCGTAAGCGTCTAGCTGCAACAGCCGACGCCATGAATCTACAGGGCTGTAACAGGCTAGCAACTCACAATATCTCATTTTGGATGCACATTCTTGGCATTGGAGTGCAAAATGGTTGACGTCCAAGCGAAGTGAATCCCCGGGATCTTCCTGACGTCGTGTTCTGCAAAGGAAGTCCGTTGCTGGCCCAATCAGCTTCCACGGTAGTCATGTTCATGAGTCGCGGCATCATCCTTGCTAAATGTTGAGCTGCTTTATTAAAAGTTGAAGGGGATTCCGTATTAACTACTGTAACTCATTGTCATGAAGAATCTGTTCATACGAACGGTGATCCTCTGTATATGATACAGACGAAGGCTTCCGCAGTCAGGTACTAAAGTACAATGGCTTAATGAGACTTCAGCGACGAGTTCGTCGTGACAGAACATGTAATCGTTCCTAGAGAAGTCAAGCTTCTCGTACTAAACAAACAATAACTTGTTGCAAAGCAAGGGGAGTTTGCTCTAATCTCTCGGCCCCACAACGGCCGCTCTCCCGCTGAGGATCGTCCGATGATATCTGGGCAATGAGGTCGATCATGTAGCGACTATGTGACCTGTGATGTTCCCAGATCTGATGAGTGCAGCCAAGTCACTGCTAGGAGGACCGAAATATACACCACTTTGGATGTGGCTGATCTGACAACCAGGAACAATGTTCTAGAAATGCAATCATAGAAAGCTTTTGAACGCACACAGGAGGTACTGCTGGTATACAATCAGCGGTATACCAAGATCAAATTATCAGACACCAAACATCAGCAGCTTGTTGCGAGGGCCCCTGGGTCCAAGAGAGGCTCGGAAGGCATAAGCCAGGGGAAATGGCTTAAGCATTGGTTTGATAGCGTGATTACTACTGTGAACCCTTGAAAAGCCGTCGGGTAGGACTCTAGATTGTGCCTCTTGCAAATCTGATTAGTGCCAACTAGCACTGGACCTCATTATCTCACCCTGCCATCATCTATAGCATCTCAAGCTAGACCATATCACCTTTTCAAATCACCCAAAATGTTGGTCTTGTAGGCGAATTACTACCTACTGGTCATTATCGATTGAGTTCAATGCATAACGTCCCTGAGTTGCCACTATGAACTATAGAGAAATGCATCACCATCTGGGTCCGGCTAAGAAGTCTCCATCGCTTTTCCGACCAGATTTCGTAATTGTATAGGTATTTTTATACCAGATTATACTTCGGGTAATATAAAATAGGAAAATCTTATCTAGAAGGCCTATTGTGTTATTACTTAATGCTCCAAAAGAAGATTTAGATGACCATTGCAAAGACGCGGAATAAAACCGCTTCCAATTTCTCAAGCAGCCGCATTCCTATGCTCAGACTATATATACAGCCATTGTTTGGTACTGACCACAACCCCCTCCTCTCTACACTGGGCGATAACGCCCGGAATTCTTCCGTAGTATAGTGGTCAGTATGCAAGCTTGTCACGCTTGAGACCCGGGTTCAATTCCCGGCGGGAGAGATCCAGCCACCTGCGATACGCAGGTTCATCTTTTTCTTTTTTTAAACACGTCTAATGTGGACGTTGTAAAGTGAAGACTTCTTCTTACTGCAGTCGCCGGATGTGTGGCTCAGGGGAAATTATACAATAACAGCTAAAAGATACTAAGTCTTATTATATATATTACCTAAGGGACATCTTAACATATATAAACCCTACAAAAACTTCTCGAGAGACTTGGCCGTGTCAATAATTGTCTGCTCGACAGGATAAAAGTCTTGTCCTGTTACTTTGACTGCCTTCGAAGCATCAAGAAATCTTTCCTCGGGAAACTCGTAGCCGGGAAAGTATCCCTGCCCAGGATTTCCAGCCTTGATAATGTCTTGTCTCTCAGGATATGCTTTACGAAGAACGTCTGCAGCAGCCTGGGGAGGGACAAGTCCTGAAGCCAACAGGAAGCGCTCCCCGGTTACCTTGTCGGGGTGGTCGACGCTGAAGACAGCAACTCGTGCAATATCACGCACATCAACATAGCCAGGATTTGGTGTCAGTGGCTTGGGGATATCTTGGCCCGAAAGTATCTGCCAGATAAAGGCAGTTGTTCCACCAATCTTTGAGATGGACTCAAGGCCTGGTTGCGGTCCCATAACAAAACTTCGGCGACCTCGTTAGATTTGCTTAGTGAATTGGCAGTGTCTCCGGGGATAGCTTACACTGGGTTGAGAGCAGTCATGGTGAAAGAGGGGCTTCTTTCGTCGCGGAACTTCCAAAAGGCTCTCTCACTTGCCACCTTGCTCGCAGCATAGATCAAAGGGCTGGGTGACTCTTTTCCGAGTTTCTTAACAGCTGCCAAAGCTTCATCATTCCAATCTGCTTCTGTAAATCTAGCAGGTGCTTCTTTACTGCCGTTAATGATAGAGGCAATTGAGGACATAAGCACAACCGATTTGACGGACGACTCGGTGATGGCAGACTCGAGAACACCCAGTGTTCCCTGAATAGCGACTTCAAGGACAGGTTCGGGGTCTGTAAAGCTGAGACTCACTCCAGCAGCAAGATGGGCGATAGCATGAACACCTGGTATTGTGAGATCCAACTTATCACAGATAGAAGAGACACTTACCCTTGACCGCAGCATCGAAGGCTCCTGATGCGACAATGTCTGGGACTTCAACAATTTCAAGATCTTTGTCATATGAAGACAAAGCCCTGAGTAGGGGATCTGCCGAAGATTTTGAGCGAACAGTTCCACGGACAGCATAGCCCGCCTCTAGAAAAGCTTCGATGACGGGCCCTGCAATATAGCCATTCGCACCAGTCACCAGGACAATTGGCTTGCTGGACATGATTAATCGAGAATGAATGTGGATATATAGTTAAATAGTGTTGAAGTTATCTCTTATGGTGATTAAGAATCTCCTGAAAGGCCATACTGTCCCTTTTATTTCCTTCTTACGATTTATACTGACAAATATCGATACTCCTAGTTCGTGAGGCTACAACAAGTTTACACGACATTCGGGCCTGGTCGTAAGAATGCCGATTGAAAGTTGAATGGCCCCAAGCATCTTTCGCGCCACTACTGGCGCTTCGGCCTTGCAGGAGCGCGTGCAAAATTGTTGGCGGAAGAGGATGAGTATCCCAAGAACACTTCATGATGTGTAAGCACACTAACGTAGTTCCCCACCACCCCGTACACCCCTAGTCCCCGCACACCTATGATAACCTCACATCGGGATCTATAGATAACTACAATCAATTATATAACAACAAGTATTTATTCAATTAAGCTAGGATTTTAGATACTAATTAAAGAATGCTCTCTCTACCGTTAATATTTTTAGCGGCTTTTTTTTCTGTAGTTTCTGTCTGTTTTCATTGATCTGATGTAAGACATTCCTTTCGGCTTAATCTCATGCTATAATAATCTGTTTAATCTTAGGAAAAGCTTGGTTA